GTGACATTTTATGCATTTTTCCCCTACAAGAAAATCACATTACATATTTCAGAGGCCTCCAGGACACTGTTAACACAGGTGAAACTGACATTACCAGGAAAATCACACTGAGGAAAACATTTTGAGTATAAATATACTTGCACATTCCCTATTCCTTATGCAGCTCATGGTCTCCTAACAGCCACCAGTGTTCTTTTGTACCATCCTTCAGCATCTCTGCACAAAGGGCCTGCATGCGGATGTCAATGCATCAGGAGGGCTCCTGGGAGGAATGCACGCAGGGAGGGGCGGGGGAGTGGGGTTTTATGGAGCAGCTGTCCTGAAGGAGAGAATTGGAAGAGGATGCAAATCCTTTCTCTCCCAAGCTGCTGGCCTCAATTCAAGCAAGTAATTTGCTTCTGGAGGATTAACCCCATCTTCCACACCCCTTCCTCCGCCCGCCAAACTATCCAATCTTTCTACATACAGATGCCCCCAGTGGGTCAATTAATTCTACAGACCAAATTATTTACATAATATAAATAACTTAAAGAAACTGGGTACAAAGAAATATAAATAAGAATTCAACTACAGGATCTGTTCCTTTAAAAACGCTGTTGGTAGAATTAAAAGCTATCCTGTCCAAAAAAAAAAAACCAAAAACAAAAAACAAAACTTGACGACACATGTAAATGTTAAAACAAATATACATAAGCTATATATAAGGAATGAGGATCTTGTTGACTCAGGTTTTGGGGCAAGAACAGCAACATTCTGATATGACACATACATCCACGCAGTCCTCATCTCAAAGTAACTGTCTTTCATTTTCCCTCCTCTCCAGAATGCTGGCACAGGAGCTTCATGGGGGAAAGAAACCTGGAGCTTAAAAAATCTTTTGCTTAAGAACAGAAACCAACGAAACAAAGGCAAAAATAGTCTTCAGTTGGCTGCCAGTGAAAACTGCTCAGCAGGGCAGTCCACCCATTCTTGATGTTCTTCTGTTGCTACATCTTTTCCCATGATCCTCTAGTGTTCTACTTCAGATTCCAATCCTTTACTTAGGTTAGTCAACAAGCACAGGTACTTTATTTTACTTTTTTAAAGATATATTTATTTATTTGAAAGGCAGAGTCACAGAGAGGCAGAGGCAGAGGTAGACAGAAGTTCTCCATCTGCTGGTTCACTCCCCAGATGGCCACGACGGCCGGAGCTGTGCTGATCTGAAGCCAGGAGCCAGGAGCTAGCTCCTGGTCTCCCACGTGGGTGCAGGGGCCCAAGGACTTGGGCCTTCCTCCACTGCAGAGAGCTGGATCAGAAGTGAAGCAGCTGGGACTTGAAGTGGTGCCCATATGGGATACCGGCACCATGGGCTGCGGCTTTACCCGCTATGCCGCAGCATTGGCCTCTTTTTACTTTAAAAGGCTCATATGTGAGGGGAATTCAGAGACTAATAGAAACCAGTGCAGAGAGGCAGAGGCAGAGACAGAGATAAGTCCTCCAACTGCTGGTTCATTCTCCAGATGGCTGCAATGGCCAGAGCTGTGCTGATCTGTAGACAGCAGCCAGGAACTTCCTCCCGGTCTCCCACGTGGGTGCAAGAGCCCAAGGACTTGGGCCATCCTCCACTGCTTTCTCAGGCCACAGCAGAGAGCTGGATAAGAAGCGGAACAGCCAGGACTCAAACCAGTGCCCATATGAGATGCTAGCATCATGGGCTGCAGCTTCACCTGCTATGCCACAGTGCTGGCCCCTGGTTACTTAAAAAGGCTCATATGTGATGGGAATTCAGAGACTAATGGAAACCAGTGCACATTCTGTTTCCTTCTCACCTTTGATGTCAATCAGTATTAGGAAGTCTCTTTTTTTTTTATCATTCATAGTTTGAGAGTATTTGAAGAAGTTCATAGAAAAACAGAATTATAAAGCTAAGCTTATCTTGGTTTTTCTTTTTTTAGATTGATAGAACTACTTTAAAATTTTATTTTCATTTTAAAAATCATTTTATTTTTTAATGGATTTATTTATTTGAAAGGCAGAGTTAGACAGAATGACAGACAGTGACAGAAACATATAGTCTATCCGGCCCTAAATGGCCAGAATGGCTGGGGCTGTTAAAGCCAGGAGCCCAGACCTCCATCCAGGTTTCCCATGTGTGTGCGGGGACCCAAGTACTGTGCCACCTTCCACTGCTTTTAGAGGTGCATTAGTAGGGAGCGGGATTGAAAGTGGAGCAGCCAGGACTTGAACCAGAGCTCCTATGGGATGCCGGCATTGCAGGCAGTGGCTTAATGCTCACAATGCTGGCCCCTATTGACTTTCTTTTCTTTCTTGCTTTCAAGACTTATTTATTTTTAAAGATTTATTTATTTATTTGAAAGTCAGAGTTCACACAGAGAGAAGGAGAGGCAGAGAGAGAGAGAGAGAGAGAGAGAGAGGTCTTCCATCCGCTGGTTCACTCCACAATTGGCCACAACGGCTGGAGCTGTGCCGATCCAAAGCCAGGAGCTTCCTCCCGGTCTTACCATGTGGGTGCAGGGGCCCAAGGACTTGGACATCTTCTACTGCTTTCCCAGGACATAGCAGAGAGCTGGATTGGAAGTAGAGCAGCTGGGTCTCACACCGGCACCCATATGGGATTCTGGCACTGCAGGTGGCAGCTTTATCCGCTATGCTACAGCGCCGGCCCACTATTTACTTTCATTTTTACTTGAAAGGCAGAGATAGTGAGAGATCTTCCTATACTAGTTTATTCTTCAGAATCGGAAAAAGAGCAGCCGGGACTCGAACAGGTGCCCATACGGGATACCAGCAGTATAGGCGGCGGCCTTACCCGCTGTGGCTTTATGCCACAGCACTGGCCCCCACAGTTCTCTTAAAGGGTCTCACATCTGGGGCCATTGCAGTGGTGTAACATGTAAAGCCGCCAACTGTGGTGCCGGCATCCCATATGGTCACCAGTTCGAGTCCTGGCTGCTCCATTTCTGATCCAGCTCTCTGCTATGGCCTGGGAAAGCAGTAAAGATGGCCCAAGTGCTTAGGCCCCTGCACCTGCATGGGAGACCTGGAAGAAGCTCCAGGCTCCTGGCTTCAGATCAGCCCAGCTTTAGCTGTTGTGTCAATTTGGGTGTGAACCAGTGGATGGAAGACCTCTCTCTCTTTCTCTGCCTCTCAAATAAAATAAATCTTTTTTTTTTTTTAAAGGTCTCACATCTAACAGCATCTTCAAATCTAAGCATAGGAAATAGCTAAGCCAAGACTTTCCACTGGAGACCTCTCACGTGCTTGTGATTTGCCATTTTTATGACTGCAAAGTTTAAGTAGTTAGTGTAACACCTCAGCAAATGATTATACTGATATTTACATTACCTAACACTTTTTTCACGATTACAAAAAGTATATTTGGTCACCATTATCTTCTACATTTCGCTACATTTGGGGAGGTGCCAACTTCAAAACTGAGTTTCCTCTTGTCCTTCCAGCTTGAGTCTCTCTGGGGAGCACGGCTGGGGAAAAGGACTTGGTTAAAATAATTATCCTAGAGGAAGAAGTGTCAGGCCTTAAGAGAACAGATCTAACGGGACGAGTCAACACAGGGGAGGAACAGGGAACTGTACCAAGAGAAAAGGCTGTGGAGAAAGCGCTGGGAAGCAGGGCTGGGGGTTGCCTCCCTCCTCCCTGCAGCTCAGTCCTCCCCGTCCCTCTCCCACTTCTCTCACATCTCCCCATTCCAGCTCTCCCAATTCTCTTTCCAGGTCTCTTCCTTCCCCCTGCACCCCAACTCCAATTCTAAAATATCTCTACCAGTCATTTCCATAAGTAGACTGCAGCCCATACTGGATCTGAAGGAAATATACATGATTAATAGACATCCTAAAAGACGTGTAGCCTCAGTAATAATCTGGAAACAAGGAATTAAACACAAATACTTCGAAAAGTTCTTAAACTGGAATGGAAATGTGTAGTCAGATGGCTTTTCCTTAACACTGGCACATACACATTTGTTTAACTCTAAATTTAAATGCAGCATAGCCTGCTCAAGATGTAAAAGATTAAGCTTTTAAAAAATTACAGCAATCAAAAAAATTATTGTTATGTTCATGTTTAAAAATAGCACATTGGAATAACCAAAATTGATACAATCACTAATGTAAATATTTTCAATGGCCAGTGTATACTGTAATGAAACCTACAGTTTGTATGTCTGATATGAACGCTATGCTATACTATTCTGAGATATTACACTTAAGCAAGTGATGCTTAACTCTTTATGTGCATCGAAATATCTCTACCCGCAATGGTTGTGTGGGATTGGGCCCAAGCATCTGCATATTTTTAAAAGTTTAGGTGGTTCCAACACACACTTCTGATCAAGAGTTACTGTCCTGGAGGGTGTTATATATTGCTACACTATACATCCAATGCACTGCTAACTTAGTCACGGCCAAACTTTAAGATCTCACAGGTTAAGCTACCTTGCTTACAAATCCATTACTGATCTCATCATCTCCTTGGGTTTGTTTTTATTTCATAGGTTCCACAGTAGCACTTGGAAAACACATTCTACTTTTCTTCCCATTCCACCAGGAAGTTATTTAAAACGGAAGATTTCACTTGAGCGTTTGAGGTAATAATGTAGCGGTTAGCTGGGAACTAGGCACTTTAAAAACAGCCATCTACCTACAACAAGGAACAGGTAGGAGGGGAGCCAGGCGAGAAAGGGGAAGCCGCTTGGCCATCCAGTTCCTCCTGAGGCACATCCTCAAGTCAGGCTTCCCCATTTACTTAACACTGATGAGAACTCATCAGGATGCTCATGTTCAAATGGAAAGAAAAGTATCCCCTCAAGATACAATCTATTTTCACATCATGCATTTTGATATTAACAGTTACTTCGACTGATGTTAAAAATCAAGAGTTAATTGTATTATTTGGATTTCTCCCATTAGTATCTTAACCTCAATTTATTTCCACTCATTTCTCATCTATGTATTATGAAAAACTAAAGTTTATTAACATACCTTGGGTCAAGAAGACTTCTCAAAAATTGGAAAAGCAAAACCTGGTTCTGGATAGGAAAACAATAAAAAAACAATTAAAACAAATTTTCCTAATTAGGATACAATGAAGAACTAATCCAGATGGCCCCTTTAAAATGCAGATATATGACCATTTCAATTAAGAAATTCTAAAGAATCATTTGGAGGTCTTTAACATCCTCTCAATAATTCTAATCAGTCACACATTCCATTTTGAGTACAGAGGGGACACAGAGTCCTTGTTATGACCAAAAGACTTCTACTGAGACAAATCCCCAAGCTGTTTCCAGCCCATGCCCTTCGGAGTGGTGGGCACCTAGAACTCCTCAGCTGGCAGTCGCACTGCCTGACCTGGCCCTCCTTATCACGAGTCAGCTGTGAGATAGTTAATCTAGGTATGGTGGGAGTATAAGGCCCACGGCAACAACCACGGCCAGGGAAAGCTCACTCTGCTCAACACAGCCAGCTACAGCAGAGATGACAATCTAACCGTAACGTGTTAGCAATCAACATACCACCGAACTGGGGATTCTGCTTCTGCTGCTCATTAGTTATGTGACTTTGTGTAAGTCTCTTGTCCCTTTTAGCAATTCAGTTTCATTTTTTGAGGGAAAAAAAGGAGGATGGCAGTAGCTTCTCTGTCTTGTGCATGGAGTAGGAGGGAGGGTTAAATGAGATAAAACCTCAAATACTACATAAATACAAATAATGTTTCTAAATTCTCGGGAAATCTAAGCAAAAAGATATTACTATCAGGGCCAGAGGTTAAACCTCCACCTACAGTGCCAGCATCCCATAAGGGCACTGGTTCAAGCCTCAGCTATTCCACTTCTGATCCAGTTCCCTGCTGATGGAGTGGAAAAGCAATAGAAGATGGGCCAAAGCGCTTGGGCCTCTGCACCCACATGGGAGATCCAGAAGAAGCTCCTGGCTCCTGGCTTCAGATCAGCCAAGCTCCAGCCATGGCAGCCAATTGGGGAGTGAACCAACAGAGAAGACCTCTCTGTCTCTCTCTAACTCTGACTCTCAAATAATAAATAAATATTTGTTTTAAAAAAAGATTGTCTAGTTTCCTTTTTTTTTTTTTTTTTTTTTTTTTTTTTCCCAGGGCAGTTAGACCAGTGAGGAGAGAGAAGAGACCAGAGAGTTTATTAGGCCAGGAGGAGAACGGAGAGAACGGTCTTCCTTCCGTTGGTTCACCCCCCAAATGGCCACTACGGCTGGCGCTGCGCCGATCCGAAGCCAGGAGCCAGGTGCTTCCTCCTGGTCTTCCATGGGGGTGCAGGGCCCAAAGACTTGGGCCATCCTCCACTGCACTCCCGGGCCACAGCAGAGAGCTGGACTGGAAGAGGAGCAACCGGGACAGAATCCGGTGCCCCAACCAGGACTAGAACCCGGTGTGCCGACACCGCAGGTGGAGGATTAGCTTAGTGAGCCCTGGTGCAGGGCCATTTCCTTCTTTCTTTAATTTTATTTACTTGTGAGAGAGGGGGAGGGGAAGAGGGGGAGTTGAGAATGGGGGAGAGGGGAATAGGGAGAGAGGGAGAGGGAGAGGGGGAGGGGCGGAGGGGAGAAGGGGGAGGGAGAGGGGGAGGGAGAGGGAGATCTTCCATCCACTGATCACTTCCTGAATGCCCCCAACAGCTAGGACTAGGCCAGGTGAAAGCCAGGAGAATGCTATCCAGTCTCCATGTGAGTGCTGGGGCCCAAGTATATAAGCCATCATCTGCTGCCTGCTAGGACACATTAGCCAGAAGCTGGGCAGGAAGTGGAGTAGCCTCTTACCTGTACCAACACTGCAATACAGAATATTAGAGTCGCAAACAGCAGCTTAACCCTCTGTGCCACAATGCCCGCCCACTGCTATATTTTTTGATACATCCAAACTTCACCTGTATAAATGAGAGGATCCTCAAATTTGAAAAGGGATAACATTATTCAGAATACGGTTTTAAAATATGTTTACAGGAGCTGGTAGTTAGCCCAGGGGTTAAGATGGCTGCATTCTACGCTGGTCGCCAGGGTTCAACAACCGACTCTAGCTGCTGGCTACAGCTTCCTGCCCATGCAGAGGGTGGCAGTCAGCAGTGACAGCTCAGTGACTGGGTTCCTGCCATCCACAGGGGAGACGTGGATGGAGTTACTGCCTCCCAGCTTCAACCAGTGTAGCTCCAGCTCCAGCTGTTATAGGCATTTGGGGAGTGAACCAGAAGATGAGGGAGTTCTGTCTTTCAAACAAAATTTGTTTACTTTAAAAAATATGTTTATATTTATCAATCTCTGGTTTTCTGTTTCCTAATACTTTGTTTCATTTTATATAGTTTTCTTCCTAGTTATCACTTAACATTCTGGCTAATTTTTCAAGAGTTCTGAAAACAATTAGAGGCCTATTTCCTGCCATTAAAAATAAGGTGCTTCAGAAGATCTATGACGGATTCTTGCACAATCCATAAAGCTCTGCAATAAAACAAACACTTCACTGCTTTAAACGCAATGTCTAAGGTCTACAAACAGACAGTGGTCTAACAGCCACTTTTTTCTCATCCAGTACACTTCAATGTTTATATATTCTTCTCGTGAATAGCATTATAGTCACTACTGGGCCTCTCTGTCTCTAGTATCTTTGGAGACTATAGAAAAAAGAAAATTCTGCAACTGATTATCTTCTATTTTAAAGAGTGATGACACCCCCGGCCCCCACCCCCAGCCCAGGCAAGGTTTACCAGCACTGCTGCCTCTGAATGGCGAGAAAAGCTCTGGAGGCAGAGGAAGTTTTCCACCCCCCCCACTAGGCTGGACTCAGGTACTTCCTTGGTACCTGGGCAGTACTTGGTCAGCACTCCAGCCAAACTATTCCGTAACTGTGTGCTGGCTTATCTCTCTCCTTTCTTGACAACAAAGGAACTCAGTCTCAGTGCTTTATGTTTGGGGTGCACAGCTGGTCCATAAATATTTACCGAATAAATGGATGAGTCTTTATTCTGAGTTAATGGAGCTCATCATGTTGGCTAACCAAGCCTGACACCTGGGAGTCAAATACTGCCAACACATTCAACTAGTTCCTAAGTCCTATACATTTTACATTTCAAGTACCTCTTGAGATCTGCTCTCTCCCCTTAGCCCTGGTCCCCCCCTACCAGTTTGTTGCCTTCTAACTGGATTCTCCTCTCCCTTTGCTCCTGTTGCCGGTTCATTCTCCACACTACCAGCCAGAGTTAATGCTCTCTAAATGGACCTAATGATGTCATTCTTGTGTTTAAAACACTTTAATAATTCTTCAGCATGTAAAAAAGTGTTAAGTTTCTCAGTACTACACATAATATTAATATAATACCAGACCCTAAGCTGTATTCTCCGGCCTCTATAAACTTAACTCCTTCCCTCCAACATACCTCTTAGATCTTAATCTAATGCCACTTCCGCCACTGCCCCCATACCACCATGCTTCATGTAGACCTGACCAGTCTGTGAATATGTGTGCTGCTTCACATTTTTCTTTACATACCCAAATCCCTCGTGCAGAAAACCTTCCCAAGTCGGTTTTGAAAACTGATATCAATCATTTAAGACCCAGTCCAGGTATCTCTGGGAGTTTCTGTCTGACTTTTTCCAACATCTCTTCTCTTGTTACTAGATATCTCTACTGAGGCTTGAATGACACTGAAGTTATACAAATCATCCTCTGTTCCACAGGAAAAATGATAGGAAAGGTTGCATTTTCATCCACGTCCCTAGGCCTAGCTCATGGGGTACAGAGTGGGCCACAAGACATTTTCAAATGAACGAGTTCCATATCTTTGTCTCTCTCTTTTTTTAAAAAGATTTTATTTATTTGAGAGGTAGAGTTACAGACAGTGAGAGGAAGAGACAGAAAGAATGGTCTTCCTTCCATTGTTTCACTCCCCAGTTGGCCGCAATGGCTGGAGCTGCGTTGATTCGAAGCCAGGAGTTTCCTCCCAGTCTCCCATGCGGGTGCAAGGCCCAAGCACTTCGGCCATCTTCTACTGCCTTCCCAGGCCATAGCAGAGAGCTGGATCAGAAGAGGAGCAGCTGGGACTACAATGGGCACCCGTATGGGATGCTGGCGCCACAGGTGGAGGATTAACTTACTGCGCCAGGGCTCCGGCCCAACATATCTTTGTCTCTTATGCTAGCTGCCCCCCAACTCACTGCTCTGGTCTTCAAGTTGCATAGCCATTCCCTACCACTGTTATTGCCACTTGAGAACTTTAGGATGCCCTTTATGTCCCTGTCACTGTCCTATTCCTTACTCTATCACTGTGGCTGTAACGACAATGAGCCAGCTCAACGCTAGCACCACTACGGTAAGCCACGAGTAGAAAACCAGGTCCACTGAACAATGCTTTTGACTGAGCATCTCAATATTCAGTCTGCATACAGTTACATTCTATGCAAGATTTTCCAAGAAAAGTTCTAAATAGCACTAACCCAATTTTAGGATGACAAAGTTCTGAACAAATAACATGAACCTCAAAGAAAAAAAAATCATTGGTCCTCCAGCAAAAGGAAAATGGGAAGAAGAGAATCTTCTGTGGATTACAACTTCTAGAATAAGTACAGGCTATAGTTTCAAAAATGCTTCTTTGATGTTAATATTGCTTTGCACAATGATCAATCCTCTTATTTCAAGACTCAAAGATCTTCATACAACTGCTCCCAAACATACACACACACACACACACACACACACACACCGAGTTTTAAATGGCTGCTATCAATTGAAATAGCTATAATCAAAAGTTCCCAGATGGAGATTCAATAATTTTCTCTTCACCGAATGCTTTTTCCCAACATATACCTGCAGTTTGTTTATGACTGTTTCAATCTGTCCAGAAAAGTGAGTAGCAACCAGCTCTGCAGCTTTACAGGGCTTCAGGGACACGAGCTCCTGGAGTCAAGGGAAAAGACAAAGTCATCATTACACTTACATCGCACATTTACACAGAAAACCCACAGATGGAAGGATGACTACCTCCTTCAATACTGTCACAAGCTTCCACACTGCATTTCAAGAGGCCTCCCTACAGGACCTAAAGTAAAAGGGCGCAATGCAAATGAACAAAGTAAGAAATGTGCCATGCGAAAAATCAGAATTGGACTGTTTTTTAAAAAGGTGAGTCAGAATCCTTAGAAAACAAAAGCATTCTCAGACTCTGCATTTCGGCCATGAGCAGAAGAAACAAAACCTTTCTGAATTCCCTGTCAACAGTTTTCATCCTTGAGTTTAAAGTCATAAAGAAATGAGAGCGTGTAGGTAAACTCTTTTTGGCTAAGAATTCTAAAACTTTACTTCTGGTGCCTGGTGGATTTAGAAACTGAAAAATGGTCTTGAGAAATTAAGTTAAGGTCCTAAGTCTTAGTTAGATAAGACTACAAAGTCACTGCTGTTGATTAAAAATTAATAAGACCTATTTCTGTCAAAGATTTCCAATCTGCCCTCTTCTTGAACTTTCCTTAACATCAACGGCTATCCTTTTTTTTCTTGAAATTTTGTTGCTTGCTTTCTGTCACCAAACATTTCATCTTTCCAACCTCACTTTCTCTGTGAACAAAATGTGACCAAACACAACCATGAGTGACTAAAATGCAGAGACTGAACGCAGACCAACATAGTACACCATCAAATACCACTTAAGACAACTTATTGTGACTGCAACATTCATTATAAATATCTAATAATGAATGATTATGTTACATAGTATTTCTATACTAAGAAATTATAGCTATCCCTCAATGACTAGGGAGGACTGGTTCCAGAATCCTCGGTGGATATCAACATCTTATATAAATTGGCGCATTCTCCAATATACTTTTAACCATCTCTAGATTATTCACAATATCTAATGCAATGTAAATACTATGTAAATAGTTGTTAACAATAGTTACATTGTTTAGGTAATGGTGATCATAAAAAAAGTCTGTACATATTCTATATAGATGCAATTTTTTTACCAAAATATTTTTAATTGTGGTTGGTCAAATCTATGGATATGGAACCCACAGATATAGAGGGCCAGATGATTATGAATTACTTTATGAGAAGAACTTGCAAATTTTAACAAAACAGATAAATTCCCAAAAATTATCTTTAATAAATTGACTTAAGATGAAATAGAAAAAATGAATTTATTTTTTCATCATTGAAGAAACTGAATGATTAGTCAAAAATATTTTGCATGGAAAATTCCAAACCAAACAGTCTTACTGATAAGGTCTAGGAATCACTTAAGAAAGAAATAATTCTAATATTAACTAATCTGTTACAGAGAATAGTAAAGAAAGGAACTTTATAAGCTCACTGTCTGAGGCTAGCAACATTTTGATACCTAAACCCAATGACACAATAAAAGAAACAAAATTATAAATATTGACACAAATGTCCTGAATTAAAAGGAAAAAAAAACAAACAAAATCCAACAATATATAAAAAGAATAATGTCAGAATCAGATGTCAGAATCAGCTGCATTTATCTGTGCAATTCTAGGCTGGTTTCATGGAACAAGGATATAAGCCTCAGCCATTTTAGCTCCTTGTCTGAAAGAAGATAAAATTCCCTTTAGCCTTGTCTTCATTCAAGAGACCAGCTCAGCCCCAAGCCATGTATTGCTCCCCCACCCAACCCTCTGCATTCTTTTCCAGGTTTGATAGCCCCTGAAAAAAAACTGTAAGGGTCCTTCCCCTAAGGACCCTTAGCCCACCGTAAGCTATGTAAGACCAGCCTGTTGGAGCACTTACTGTCTGCACGTGTTTGCACTGTGCATGACAGCAGTTAGCCACCTCAGTGAATTTGTTTGTTTTGTTCTTGAATAAATCAATTTTGGCTGTGAGTTTGTCTCCTTCTCCTCTCTGTTCTGCCCCCTTTCCTTACATGTTTAATATCAATAAAATTTATCACAAAAAGATAAGAGGAAAGGTGATAAAATTTAAAATCTACTTATGAGGCAACTCAGTATACCAGAAATAGAAAGAAATTTCTATTAAAATCCTTATAACAAATATTTTGCTTACATAGGAATTGAAATTTTCAAAAACATCATTAATAATATTAAAATATAAAATTATGACAGTAAATCTAACAAAGAGCAGAAAACCTCTAAAGAGAAAAATCATATGACTTTACAGAAAAATGTTGAATAAAGCAGTATACCATGCAGTTACTGTCTGGAAGACTCAGTATTGTGAAGATTGTAAATTACCTTCAAAATAACAGATTCAATGCAATGCCCGTTAAGAATTCTAAGCTTAAAATCGTTTCGGTAGAACTTGATAAGTTGACTCTAAAATATATTTGGAAGGAAGAAAGTCTACAAGGGCAAGACTTATTACACAATAATGCTATTTAACAGTGTATGCTACCAATGCAGACAGATAAATGGGCCAATGAAATAGGAAAAGGCACAAAACAATGGGCTAAGCACACAGATCCTTGATACACTTATGACAAAGGTAGCACCAATAGGTGATCGGGAAAGGCTACCTTTAAAATAACGACTGCAGGCAAAACTGGGCATTTATATTTAAAAATTAATCAGGTTTAAAGAGAAAAAGAAAAAGCTTTTGGATGATAATAAAGAAGGACATCTCCTAAGTATGATGAGGAAAAAAATTATTTTAACAACCTAAAAAATTTTTCTTATAAATAACTATAAAAAGATTGAAAGCAATAGCCACAAAATGGAAGAAGTATTTGCAACCTACTCCATACTGCTAAAAAAGACATAAAAACAAATCATACAAATCAACAAGGATGAGAAGCATTCAAATAGAAAAGCGGGCAAAAGACTTCAACAGGCACATCACAAAATAAGAAATTTAAATGTTCAATAAATACCAAAAGGTTGTCATCGCATTAATTAATTAAGAAAATATAAATTTAAAACACAGTAAGATGTCACTAAACATCCACGCGATTGGCAAGGTTTTCAGGTCTGGCAAGGATACAGAACCAAGGGGAATTCATACACGGTGCTGGGACCCAGTGAAGTTTAAGATAACCTGAAACTGAGGTGACAGAATCATTTGCCCTACCCATAGCCTTTCTGATACAATGGATCTGAACTCTGCATCAGGTTTTCAGCTCATGGTGCAATGTTGGTCTGGGGACTACACTGCAGATACACATGTGACTTTTGCTCAAGACGCAAACAATTGGGTCTTCAAAAAGTTCATGGAAATGCACAGAATGAAAAAAGTATACATGAATTTCCATTTTTTGGGCAAACTTATCTTAATTCCATTTTCCACTAGTGGTTTGAAGTATCTTGTATAATAATGATCATAGATCACTGTTAATAGTCAAAACTGGACCAGCTCTCTGGTGGCCTGGGAGGGCAGTGGAGGATGGCCCAAGTGCTTGGGCCCTGCACCTGCAGAGATCAGGAAGAAGCACCTGGCTCCTGGCTTCGGATCAGCGCAGCTCACCGGCCGTAGTGGCCATTTGGGGGGTGAACCAACGGAAGGAAGACCTTTCTCTCTGTCTCTCTCTCACTGTCTAACTCTGCCTGTCAAAAAAAAAAAAAAGATAGTCAAAACTGGAAACAACTGAAATGTCCATGAACAACTGACTAGATAAACTGTGATATAAAATGGAAAAATGGAATACTATACAATGAAAATGCACTGCAACTACATATAATAAAAGGTTCAAACTTCTCAAAATATTGAGTAGAATTAAACAGAAAACACAGAGTGTAATTTTATCTACATAATGTTCAAAACCAGGCAAAACAAAACATGCATATTTAGGATTACACGCATATGCAATAACAGTTTACAGAAAGGTAAGAATTTATAGTATACTGGTGGTCAGAGGAGGGAGAAGTAGGGCTTAGGATAAGGAAAGGATGTACGGGGAGTTTGGGGGTAATGGAAATATTCTATTTCTTGATCTGGGTTTAAGAAGCTTGCTTTAACCCTGACCTCAGAATCAGCCCTTAAGGCATTCAGATCTGGCTAAAAAGCCCATGAGAGTATTTCAGGCATGGAAAGCCAAGACACTCTGGAAAAAAAAAAAATGACCTAAATGAAAGATCTCTGTGAGTGAGATCCCAGCAGAAATTTCGAACAGGCCATCAAAGGAGGTACCTTTCTCTGATGCGAGAAGAGAACTTCCAGTTTGACTATGACGTTGTCTAAATGAGATCAGAGTTGGCAAACTCAAGAGGCTTCCATAGTCTTGGCAACTCATGACAAGAGCCTCGGGTGATTACTGATGCCATAAACAAGAGTGTCAATTGTTAAACCAACAACAGGAGTCACTGTGCACTTACTCCCCATGTAGGATCTCTGTCCTTAATGTGTTGTACTATGTGAATTAACAGTATAACTAGTACTCAAACAGTACTTTATACTTTGTGTTTCTGTGTGGGTGCATATCTTTACTTAGTATTTACTAAACTGATCTTCTGTATATAAAGTTAATTGAAAATGAATCTTGATGTGAATGGGATGGGAGAGGGAGTGGGAGATGGGATGGTTGTGGGTGGAAGGGAGGTTATGGGGGGAAAAAGCCACTATAATCCAAAAGTTGTACTTTGGAAATTTATATTTATTAAATAAAAGTTAAAGAAAAATAAATTTAAAAAAAGAAGACTACTTTAAACATTTTTTTAAAAGTTAAACTGTACATTGTTTTAGCTACAACTTGAAATTTTTTTGTATTTCAAAATAAAAAATGTTTTAAAAACCTAATGAAACACATTTTATCCTTATTGGAAAAACCACCTAAACCAGAGATTCTGTGCTTAGACTCCACAGACTCAATCCAAGAGTGGCTTTTAGGGGGCCTGTGGATTTCTGAGAAACAAAATTATGTATCTATGTATTTGTGCAGTACCACAAGTAACAGGTCAAATCCTTCACTACATTCTCAAAAGAGGTCTAGAATTTCAAAAGTGTTACGACCCACTAAGATGTAAGCTGTGTATAAAGTCGGAACACCTTATTATGATGACCTTTCCCCCACGTATTTATGTTGATTATATTTATATTACTGAAGGACAGAAGTCCTTCAACAAAAACTCTATAGTTTTACTTGTGGCTTTAAAAAATATTAAAAAGTTCAAGGTGAAAAAGAGTACAGATGTGGGAAAAAAGAGTCAGCAGAAATAATTGTTGTGTAGCAAAAATACTCTTGCTTCTCCAGCATGAGTTTTCTGCTGAGCAGTTTGTTTGCTCATTGATTAATTCATCACGTTTCACATTATGCAGAGAGACACAGCTTCATTTTTGGATGTCTGGAGTTCGTGTGCTCAAACCACTGCCTAATGCAGATGAGGTAAAGTGAAGAATGGGCCATAATGTAACTAAGAAGACTTGACGAGAATAAGGAGAAAGAATATAAAGTGATTAAGGGGAAAAAAAGATAAAATTCAAAATTGAAGGAGGTCTTGCTGGTTTTTTTCCACCAAGTTATATTCACATTGTTGTTAGAAAGCATCTGGTAACATGAAATAACACATACCACCACAGGCACCTGGCCTGGCAGTGAACTCATATCCCATCCTGGAATCCACGGGTGCGACTGCTGACTCCCACTCCTGACTCCAGCTTCCTGCTAATGTGGACCCTGGGAAGCAGCAATGATGGCTCCAATAACTGGGTTCCTGCCACCCCCAGGAGACCTGGATGGGGTTTCCTGGCTACCTGCTTTGTGGGCACTTGGGGAGTAAACAAGTGGATGTAAGCACTCTCTATCTCTGACTCTCTGCCTCTCCAATAAATAAAAATGGATAAATAAATATACCATGCTCTTAATCCCATAGGTTAGGGTGTAGAAATTACTTCAGGCCTCCCATCTCATGGCTGACTGCCCCACCTTTCACACCAGATGTTTCACATAAGGTGCTGCTCACATTTCTGATCTTTCTAAATGTGAAAAGACTTTAATCCTCAGGGAAATCAACTTAATAACAGGACAGCTGCCCTTGCTTAGCCACAGTTAACACAGGAGTCATCCATTCAAATGTGCAGTTTAAAGTTTTGCTGAATTAGTACCTCAACGTGATCCATTGCCTTCTGCCATACAGACTGCTTCTCCTCTGCACTGTGTCCAGGAATGGATAAGATATTGTGAATGTAATTAAAGACTTCCTCCTGAAGAGCACAGACAACATAATCTGTTAGTTCATTCACTCAAGCAATACAGTCGTCACTACCTACAATCTGTGTAACTCTTGGGAAATATCTATTATTTGGAGATGGAAAATCTTTTGGGGATTGTTAACCGCCACTGAAGAGAGTAATTATTTAAACTTTAGGGTAGAATCTTAGACGTTACAAGCTTGCTCCAAATAATTCTGGTCTCAGTGGATTAACCTTCAATGACCTACAGAGGGATTATCATACTTCTGCTCTTGGTAATCTCTACCACATTTCCAATATCATCTCAAGTCACTGTTATCCTGGTCTTTCATACTCCACCTTCACGGATTTTTGCTTTATTCATAGTCTTTACTCAGTTCCTTGAACATGTCAATTTCCCCCCAACCCAGGGCTTTTGCACATACTGTCCTCTATTCTGGACCACTCTTCCCTTGACTCTCTGCTTGACTGGCTTCTAAAATCCCAAAACCCAGTTTACATGCCACTTTCTCTGAGATTCCTTCTCTGGCTGTTCTGTGAAAGTCAGTCCCCCATAATCCTTTAAATTTGTACCTGATTTCTTCCCCTGATATTTAACAATTTAATATTATATGTTTGGCTTTCCTTTTACTGTCAGCTTTCATCACTAAATTCCAAGTTTCCAAACTGCAGGAACTACATCTGTGTTAATTATCAATACACACTTGGTTCAGAGTAGACACTCAGCAAACACCTGCTTCATAAATGAAGAAAACCTTGGATCAGCAATCACATATCCAAATATTTCTCCTCTGTAAGGGGACAAAACCAGTTTTAAAAAAAAGACAAAGCATACTCTGAACTCACCTCTCTCAGTGGGTCACGTAAGTAGCAATCAATAATTTTGTCATACTGATGTTCACGTTCATACATAAATTCACAAATTTGGTAGCTAGAATGTAAAAGGAAAAATTTCAGTGTACCAAAAAGACAGGTAGTTACTGGCTTATTGCTTTGAGAAGTGTGTTCAGGTATACAGGTTAGTATTTTAAAAACGGATGCACTAGATGTGACTTCCACTGTTAAGTATCTAAGGGAGAGGAGCTCTGCCATTCCTCCTCAGATACCCCTGAATACTCCATGATAGGACTTCCTAGCCGGGCGGGCACAAGAGAAATGCTAAAGCAACCATCTGCCACATAAGCTATAATCAACACATTTGATATCAACTAATAATTTGCAATTAAAGTTTTTTCAGAGTTTGTGAACTTTCTCTTTTCAGAGTCAAATACATTAAACAAAACATATGACAAATAAATAGCTATGTTAGCATACTGTATCTTATTTGTCATAAAAAATTCTGTATTGTTTCTAATATACATAGCTATCAAAAATCTATGATATACTATAGAAATAGTAAGTAAAAAACAAAAATAATAAAACTTCTATTTCACTCTTATATTAAAATAAATATACAAACATTTCAAATTTACACCAAAAACTTCTGCAAATTTTAATAATCTCTAGAATTCAGCTAAAGGCAAAACCTTTCTTAGGTTTTGGTTGCTATTGTTGTTTGCATAACCTTTCTTAATTACAGAAGCAGCAATGCAGCAATAAACTCAAATTCAAGTTAGAGAAATGTAATTTAATAGTTCCATAAAAAACTAATAAATGGCTTCAAAGCAACTTACAACTCAGCTTTTTCTGCCATGCGGATGAGCCGACTCTCTTCAAATTGAACTATGCCCCCAGCCTGCAGCAATTCTAAAAGGACCTGAACATATAAAACAATTGAGTGGAAACACTTGGGAATTTATTTTTATTTACTAGCTCTTTAAGATTTCACTCAGCCATATAGACCACCTCTCTCATCAGTTTTCTTTTATATTCTTACTTGTTGATATCTTGTCGTGCTTTCATATATGCCTGGTTAGACTGCCATTATAATGTTGACTGTCTTCTATTTAAGTTGCATATAAATTTATATTGTTATAGCTCTGTTTTTCTACCATGGAAGGAATGCCACAGTGTTTGCAAATAAAGCCTATTAGAATACTGAACTGACTCTCCATCAAGATAAAAATGTCTGCATATATCCTTTTAAGAAGTGAGCTTTTGTCTGGCACTTCCATGTCTTACGGTCCTTTACAATTTGTTGTCCACAGATACTATCCAAACACTTACATGTTAATATTTTTAAATTAAAAATTATAGCTTTTCACAGAAGCACAACTTGTGGGGAGCAACCCGGACTAGACTAAGTTACTGGAATTAAGACTTATTCTATGCATCTGCTCTCCCACAATATGGCGCTGAGAAGGGAGAAACAGCTTCTACACAGCTGCCTCCAGTTCAACCAATAAACTGTAGGACCTGCTCCTGATTGGAGGAGAGCAGCGTACTCGGCGTGTGGGTAGCAGAGTTGGGATTGGTGGAAAAGGACTATAAAGGAGGAGAGAGACAACATGCACTGGGAACATCTAAGAGGAACACCTGTGCAGCCCCCGAGAGAGCCAGCCGGCGGAGTGCCGCTCCCCCGCGGAAGTGGGGAAAGTGGCCAGGGGGAACCGCCCTTCCACAGAGGTGGAAGGGACGGTAGCCAACCCGGGAAGAACCAGCAGCAAACCTGGGGAGGGCCGAGCAGACAAAAGAACAGCGCAGGGTCCTGTGTCGTTCCTCCACGAAGAGGGGGAGCAACACTACTCAGTCACAAGGTGGAAACAATCCAAACATTGATCAACAGATGAATGAACAAAAGGTGATTTATACACAAAATAGAAAGTAACTCAACCTTAAGATATGAAACTACAACACATGCTGCAACACAGAGGAACCTCCACGACATCATGTTAAATGAAATAAGCAAACACGAAAGGACAAATACTGTATGATTGTACTTATATGAGGTATGCAGAGGCACCCAAACTCGTAACAGCTAAATGGGGACTGCAGAGGGGTATGTATAATGGGTACTGCAGTTTAATTTGGGAAGATTAAAAAGTCCCAGAGATGGACAGTGAGAATGGCTGCACAGTATGAATATACTTAATGCCACTATATGTTTATATGTAAAATGCATATGTAAAAATGCTTAAAACGGTACATTTTATATTATGTATATTTACCACAATAAAAAATAAAATTATTGGGTTTCAAATAAATAATTCTTTTTTTTAAGGATGTATTTTATTTATTTGAAAGAGTTACAGAGAGAGGCAGAAACAGAGAGAGTGGTCTTCCATCCGCTGGTTCACTCCCCAAATGGGTGCAATGGCCGGAGCTGCACCGATCTGAAGCCAGGAGCCAGGTGCTGCTTCTGGGTCTCCCACGTTGGGTGCAGGGGCCCAATGACTTGGGTCATCTTCTACTGCTATCCCAGGCCATAGCAGAGAGCTAGAAAGGAAGAGGAGCAGCCGGGACTAGAACCGGTGCCCATATAGGATGCCGGCATTTCAGGACAGGGTTTTAACCTATGTGTCAGTGCTGGCCCCTCAAATAAATAATTCTGACTACAATAAGTAGCTGAATAAAAATGTTGAGTAGGGCCGGCGCCGTGGCTCACTAGGCTAATCCTCCGCCTAGCGGCGCCGGCACACCAGGTTCTAGTCCCGGTCGGGGCGCCGGATTCTGTCCCGGTTGCCCCTCTTCCAGGCCAGCTCTCTGCTGTGGCCAGGGAGTGCAGTGGAGGATGGCCCAGGTGCTTGGGCCCTGCACCCCATGGGAGACCAGGAAAAGCACCTGGCTTCTGGCTCCTGCCATCAGATCAGCGCGGTGCGCTGGCTGCAGCGCGCCGGCCGCGGCAGCCATTGGAGGGTGAACCAACGGCAAAGGAAGACCTTTCTCTCTGTCTCTCTCTCTCACTGTCCACTCTGCCTGTCAAAAAAAAAAAAAAAAAAGTTGAGTAGGCTGTTGTGCTAGAATCATCAATATTTTTAAATAGGCCTCAGAAAATACAATCATTGGAGCAACAGGAGAAAGCTCCCTGGTATTTAAACTAAGGATCCAGGGGCCAGCATTGTGGCACAGCAGGTTAAATCCATGGCCTGCAGTGCCAGCATCCCATAAGGGCACCAGTTCAAGTCTTGGCTGCTCCACTTCCAATCAAGTTCCCTGCTAATGCACCTGGGAAAGCAGTAGAAGCTGGCCCAAGTCCTTGGGCTCCTGCACCCATGTGGGAGACCCAGAAGAAGCTCCTGGCTCCTGGCTTCTGATAGGCTCAGCTCCGACCGTTGCACGCATTTGGGGAGTGAACCAGCAGGTGGGAGACCCGTCTTTCTGTCTGTCTCTACCTCTCCCTGTAACTCTGTCTTTCAAATAAATAAAATAAAACCTTACAAAAATTCAGGATCCAGAGTAGCGTAATCCTTCTCAGGACTCCAATAAAAAACTTAACAAAAATACTTTTCTAACACAGTATATACATTATTTTAAAACTTAACAAAAAAGCAACAAATTACACAGTTCAGAACCCAAATTGAATCCATTGTGAGCACTAAAACATACTGTTAGAGAATAAATATAGAGTGAACCCATCTGTTGTAAGCATCAATTTGAAATAACTTAATAGAAAAGCCACTGCTGGGAGTCAGTCTTTCCAACTCACTAGAAGTGACTTAAATTTTCAGGAATTTTGCAAGCCAGTTATTAAACACAGGTGTTAATAAAAACTAAATTATATCAAGTTACAATTACATAAATTAAATTAGAAACAGGGGCATAATACTCAAAATCACCACTTCCTAACTGTTTTACTACCGTGTGTGCCCTTGAGGTTATTCATTTGCAACTTCTGTAATTGTGTCTGTAAGCTAGAAACATTACAGGAGGGTGTGCTACTCCCTCTCCTCCTGACTCAATATTCAGTGACAGCACATTGGTAGGCTAAAGCACTTATGGGAGAGAATTTACATCATGGAAACTGGAAAACGACATAAATTAGAACAAATGATATTGAATATGTTACATTTTTAAAGGGCTGTTGCATTTGAAAGGGGTGGGCATTTGGCTGAGCAGTTAAGACACAAGTTAAGATGCTCACAACCTACACCAGAGTGTCTGTGTTCATCTCCTCACACCTGAGTCCAGCTTCCTGCTAATATGTACCCTGGGAGGTAGCAGGAGATTACCCAAGTGGTTGGGTCCCAGTCACCCACATGGGAAACCATGGACTAAGTTTCCATCTCCTGGCCCAGTCTCAGCTGTTGGAATCTGTGGACTAAGCCCGTGGACAGGAGCTCTGTCTCTTTCTGTTCCTTTCTCACTCTCTGCCTCTCAAATAAAATAAAACAAAATGACTGTAAAACAAAAACAAAAATGAGACAAACCACACATGGCTCACAAAACCTAAAATATGTTCCTTTACAAAGAAAGCTTTCCAATCCCTGGGTAAAGAAATTGATAGAGAGAGTACTCATAAGAAAATTAAACTTAGAAGTGTGCACATCCGGGCCAGGTATTATTAGCACATAGTTAAGTTGTTGCTTGAAGCCCCAGCATCCCATGACAGAGTGCATGGTTTGAGTGCTGTCTCCTCTGCTCAGACTTCCTGTGAATATGCACCATGGGAGGTAGCACATAATGGCCCAGGTGCTCGGGTCCCTGACACTCACATGGGAGACCAGGATTAAGTTTCAGGCTCCTGGTTTTGGCCTGGCCCAGCCCTGGCCATTGCAGCCATTTGAGGGATAAACCAGCAGATAGAAGGTCTCTCTCTCCCTCTCTCCCTCCCTCCCTCTCTCTCTCTCTCTCTCTCTCTCTCTCTCCTCTCTGTGTCACTCTTTCAAATAAATTTTTTTAAAATTTTTTTTAAAAAAGTGTGCAAATGTATAGTCATTAAACTGTGAATACAAAAAAAAAAAAAACTGAGGATTTTTCCTAGTATTCAAAAACTGTTAACTCATTCAGCAAAAAAGTCATTTCACTGACAAATTTAGTTTTGACATGTTTTCATTGTTGTGCTTTTAATGCCTTAATTTACATAAATAAAAATATCAAACAACATTCATATCAGAACTATAGCTAGCACAACATATGCATGTAAAGAAACATCACACAGTACTACATAAATATGTATAATTTTCACATGCCTGTTAAACATTTTTAATGAAAAAAAGAACTGGCGCTGTGGCATAGTGGGTAAAGCTATGCAGTGCCAGCAGCCCATATGGGCGCCAGTTCGAGACCCGGCTGCTCCACTTCCGATCCAGCTCTCTGCTATGGCCTGGGAAAGCAGTGGGAGATGGCCCAAATCCTTGGGCCCCTGCACCCACGTGGGAGACGTGGAGGAAACTTCTGGTTCCTGACTTTGGATCAGCACAACTCTGGCCATTGCAGCCAATTAGGGGGTGAACCAGCAGATGGAAGATCTCTCTTTCTTTGCCTCTCCTTTCTCTCTCTGTGTAACTCTGACTTTCAAATAAATAAATCAATCTTAAAAAAAAAAAAAAAGGAACTATAGGCGGGAGCCACTTGTGAAACATTTATGAGCATATCACTGGAAGAGATGAAAAATATTATACAAATAAATGCTTACATACAACAAATGGTACAAGGAAAGAGTGGTAGATTAGAAGAAGAACTGGGTTCTACTCTCAACTGTGACTCTGTATTTCTATAATGAGAGAGTGAGCATTTGGTCTACTGGTTAAGACACTGTTTGGGACATGACACCCCAATGCTGATGTGCCTGGGTTTTGAGTCTCAGCTCTTCCCAACTGCAGCTTCTTGCTGATGTGCAGCCTGGAAGGCAGTAGGTAATGACTCAAGTACTTGGGTCCCTGCCCTCCTCTGCAATACAGGAAACTGGCTTGAGTATCTGGCTCCTGACTTCAGCCTGACCCAGTGCTGGCTGTTGTGGGCATTTGGGGAGCAAATCAGCAAATGAATGATCTCTGTCTATCGCTCTACCTCTCAAATAAAAATGATTCATTAACTAAAAAGCAAAATGAGGAGACAAATCTAGATAACATCAAAGAGACAACCAGTGATATAATATTAACATACTAGTATTACTTTTCAAGGTTTGGCTTTTCCATTGAGAGGCTTGTCTTTCTGTTATTTAAACTGCAGTTTTGGGTCACTTTATATAAAAGCGCTATGCTGAACATGATGCACACCTACTTCCAGTAGAGAAATGGGGGGTGAGGGTGGGGAATCCATATTACTCTTTATATTCAATATAATTTGAGAGCTAACCAAAATTTTGGCCACCGTTATTTTTCCCAAGGGCCTGCAGCAACCACTGGGCCACAGCTGTGCAGAGAGAAGCATCACCATTGCTCTTCTATGGCCTTTACCTGAGTCTTGATTTTCTAGCTGTGCACTATTACCACACACACACACACATAAAAATCAGCACAGCTTAAAGAACTTAATTTTTGCAGTTTCCTGACCTGACAAAGTTTGCTATCAACTTTAAATGTGGGGACTCTCTCAGTGGTTACAAAGTTACAATTACAGTGGGTACGTTTTCAAAGTCCTACTCCTAGAAGGGATCCTTGATTGCTTCTTGGCCTTATGGCTAAGATCAAGTGTAGAAGGAACCCTCCAAAAAGCCGCATAAGCAGAAAAAGTGATAACGAAATACTTACTGTTTCACTGTGATTAGTGGAGGTGCAGACATCTTTAGCCCAGTGAGGGGGACTTGAGAGCACTCCTGAAAGCTGCGTGCAGCAATATGCAGCATCCGAGAGCCCCCTGGCTCAGGGCCATGGCAGCTAGCAGTGGATGCCAGGTTTAATGGCACTGACGGACAGCAGCGCTAACTGTTGCTACCTGATGATGAAGTACTCTCTTTCATGCCATGCTGGATTCAAGGCAGGTCAAAGAATTTAGTTTGGTATAGGCTCCTGTGACGTGTACCTCTAACAATCATCCACGCTATTTTCTGTTTGCCACTGTCTTCAGCACGGCATTAGAGATTGGCAACAAGTTATTCTCCCCTTAGGTCGAGTGAGACCCAGCACAGAAGAATTCTTTCTGGCTTACTCTGACTTGTGTTGGCAGAAAGAGTTCTAGTCGTTCCTACCTGCTGTCGTTCAGAGTGCCGAGAGTCATCATCAGGACTACAGAGGAATTCAAGAACCTGGCCAAAGAAAAACGATCTTTTATTGGAAACAAGCATGCCCCAACACTTTAGAGTAAAAATAATTGTAACTAAGCTTTCAAGATTATCAATTTATTCACACACAGCCATAACAAACCACAGGCATATGGTATCTTCCCCTGTGATTGGCCTAGCACATGAAACATCAGGCTCGGGGCCGTTGCTGTGGACTAGCTGGTAAAGCCGCTACCTGCAGTGCCGGCATCCCATATGGGCGCCGGTTCGAGTCCTGGATGCTCCACTTCCGATCCAGCTCTCTGCTATGGCCTGGGAAAGCAGTGAAGGATGGCCTAAGTTCTTGGGCCCCTGCAGCCATGTGGGAGACCCGGAAGAAGCTCCTGGTTCCTGGCTTCGGATCAGTGCAGCTCTGGCCATTGCAGCCATTTGGGGAGTGAACCATTGGATGGAAGACCTCTCTCTCTCTCTCTCTCTCTCTCTCTCACTTTGCCTCTCTGTGTAACTCTGACTTTCAAATAAATAAATAAATAAATCTTTAAAAAGAAAAAAAAGACACATCAGGTTCAGGTGTGCCAACAGTATTTACCTTACAGACATACTTCTGTAGTCTTAGAAACAAAAGTAGAAGGCAGCATCACACCTTAACTTTCAGGGTTTCAGTTCCCTGATACCATGGACCAAGCAAAGGATGCACTTTGAAGTCCAGCCCCTTGAATTTGAATCCTAATCTTACTGACACTTAGTAATGACATTCACTATTAACAAAAACACAAAGTCTGATCTTACATGAGTTACGACCCTCCCCGGGCTTTAGTTTCCTCGTCTGTAAAATGGGGATAACTGCACTATTTCACAGCTGGCAGGAGGGCTGAGGTAACACCTAGATGCTGTGGAACAGTGCCTGGTGCCATGAAGTGCTCTGTAAATGCCAGTCATTATTAGCTACTTTTTGCCACCTATGGATGTGTAGGACATATTTAACTTTTTTCTTTTGCCAGCTACGGATGAGTAGGACATATTTAACTGGGATCAGTAAACAGATCCAGAGTCAAAGCCACTGGGAAGTAAGTTAAAATTTCCCAAAAGTAATCTCTCCTCCAGATGACTGTTGGCAAGGTCTTACTACTAGTGAGATAGGGTGATGCATAAGTGGAAAATTCTCGAGCAAAGAATCCTATGAAATTTAGAGAAGCAGAATAACTGAGAGAACAGAACCTCTGTGAGCCAATCTCCACAAACCACACTCCATAACAGTTATTAGGCAAAGTCATACTCACCAGGACTCATTATTAACACACAACACACACACAAATTTATATCTAAAAACATGAATAGGTTTCTCTCTAATAAGACACTAATCAAAAGGTCTATCCTATCAAGAAACAATGAAACCCAGTATAACAGTGTAACCCAGTGAAATGTACAGTAAACAGAGAACAAACACTTCAAGTTCTCATTGTTAAAGACACTCACCTGATCAAAAAGTGTTCTGTTTACAAACAAAGTATTGTCAGGCTTTGCAAGCTGACGAGCCAGAAATGTGAAGAGACATCCTACTTGAGAGGGAGTAAAATCAGAATTCTCCACCATAACCTGAAGAGCAAAAGAGACTATTTTATAAATATGCCATCTAGTTTCATGCAAGAATATATACAATTAGAAGGGGGACCTCACTACTGCAGACTCATGAAGATTCTTTCATTGACTATGCAAAAAGTGAGTTCAATATCATTTAGAGAAGAAGTATAACAACCTGCACACTCTGAAGGAGAACATTTTAGTGACTTTTGGCAAATTTCTAGCACAACTTGGGTGAAAGATGAATTGTTGGAGTGGTGGATGCAAGATTGCAAAGGATCACTGATCATGTTTCCCTCTGGACTTCTTAGAGGATCCCAGCAAAAGTGAATTTAAATAGTCCTTCTAAACATCTGTACATCAACAATGGAAGAAGACAGCTGCTTTGTGGTTGAAAGGATAACCTGAGAGTGACGGTATCCCAGAAAAGAAGTCTGCCTGATGAATTGAATGGTTTCTGCCTTGTCTACAAGCAGTTCCTTGAAAAGATGGTTTTGTATAACAGGCGTTTTACAATTACACACAGCTGTCAAATCCCAGTCATTCATCTGCTTTAACTCAGCTTTGATCTCCTAGATACCCAGTGTGTGCAAGAGGCTTTGGTAAATGCTGGTAAGGGAATTATGAAGCAGAAAGGAAGGTGAGGCAGGTAAATAAATCTTAAATAAAAAGCATGAGAGGATCAGTGCTATTATAGAGGCAAAATGATTACAGAAGCACAGCAGAGAAAATTTCATTCAATTGGTTAGGGAAGGAACTTGAAAAGAAAAGAGAAAACCAGCTTTTAAGCTAAGCTTTAAGGCCCAAGCCCAACCTTTACCAGGGGGAAATCAAAGCAGAGAAGGTAAACCAGGCAGAGAGAACAATGTAAGCAAAAGCATGGAAACAAAAGGCTAGAGTTTGTCCCAGGGACTGCTGTAGGTTTCACCACAATGCAGCAACACACACAAGGAGGAAGGGAAAATTAGGCTGAAATACAAGATCAGGCCTCAACTGTCATCCTAGGCCCTAAGGAATCTGGATTTTATTTTCTAGAAAACCAAAGAGCTACTACAGGTGCTCAACAGGAGAGCTGGCCATCATCAGTACTGTGCTTAGGAAAATGACCACGTCAGACACATAAGGAAAAAAATAATCTAAGGAAGATACAGAAGGCAAGGAGTGGCCGGCACCACAGCTCACTAGGCTAATCCTCTGCCTGCAGCGCCGGCACACCGGGTTCCAGTCCCGGTCGGGGCGCCAGATTCTGTCCCAGTTGCTCCTCTTCCAGTCCAGCTCTGCTGTGGCCCAGGAGTGCAGTGGAGGATGGTCCAAATGCTTGGGCCCTGTACCCGCATGGGAAACCAGGAGAAGCACCTGGCTCCTGGCTTCGGATCAGTGTCGTGCGCGCCATTGAAGGGTGAACCAATGGCAAAAGAAGACCTTTCTCTCTCTCTCTCTCACTGTCCACTCTGCCTGTCAAAAAAAAAAAAAAAAAAAGGCAAGGAGTCTAAAATGCAAATGACTGCAGGGGTCCAAGGGAGAGAAACAAAGAGGTTCTGAACTGGGGCAATAACAATGAAAAGGAAAGGAGAAACAGGTGCAAGATACCAAAGAACACAGACAAGCATTCCTAATGTGTGAAGACATATGGTCAACGGAGCAATAAAAAATGGTGAGCCCAGCGTTGTGGCGCAGTGGGTAAAGCTCCCACCTGCAACAAAGGCATCCCATATGGGCACCAGGTTCGAGTCTGGCAGCTCCACTTCCAATCCAGCTCCCTGCAGCAGAAGATGCCCCGAGTGCTTGGGCCTCTGCCACCTACATGGGAGACCCAGAAGAAACTCCTGACTCCTGGCTTAGGCCTGGCCTAGCCCTGGCTGTTGTGGCTATCTAGGGAGTGAACCAGAGGATGGAAGATTCTCTCTCTCTGATTTTCAAATAAATAAATCTTAAAAAAAATTTTTTTAAAAAAGATAAATTTGCGGGCCAGCACTGTGGTGTAGTGGGTAAGGCCACTGCCTGCAGTGCCAGCATCCCATATGGGCGCCGGTTTGAGTCCTGGCTGCTCCACTTTTGATTTGGCTCTCTGCTATGGCCTGGGAAAGCAGTGGAGGATGGCCTAAGTCCTTGGGCCCCTGCACCCACATGGGAGACCCAGAAGAGGCTCCTGACTCCTGGCTTCGGATCAGCGCAGTTCCGGCCACTGCAGCAGGTTGGGGAGTGAACCAGCAGATGGAAGGCGTCTCTCTCTCTCTGCCTCGCCTTCTCTCTGTGTAACTCTGACTTTCAAATAAATTAATAAATCTTTAAAAAAAAAGATAAATTTGAGCCTGACTGGCAGTTGGAATGATGACATGATTAATAAAGAGCGAATGCACAAGTTTGGAAAGGAAGGGTATGTATTGTTTGGGGCTTGCTGAATTCATGGAGGGAAACACTTGAGCAAATCAGGTGGTAACACCTTAAAAATCTAATAAAAAGACCCATGTCTTTCCTTCCATCCTCCGATGAAAAATAAAGTGTAAGGTTTCTACTATTAGACACGTTCCCTTAAGGCCTGGATTCTGATCTACCCTTCTTAACTCTGCTAGCAGAATACCCTTTGCTTTTACCCGTCCTGCACTGCTCCAGCAATCACTACTTGCTCAAGAGCATAATCATTAAAAGAGCACAGGAATATTTCAGTTATAAATAAATGCTTCTTTCTATCTCCCTCCCTTCCATCCTCTTTCTAGCTATCCATATGTACATGTAAATTTCAATTCATGATATTCCAAGAGCTCTCCATAGCTTTAAATACTCAGTCAGTCATCACTCCCTTTCAGGGTCTGAGTTCCTTTTCTAGGACCCAACCCTGGGGCCCACGGAGTGCTCCTTTCCATTTTAACCCTTCCTTTTGCTAAGTGTAAAACCCTAAATTGTCTGACCTTAAATATACCTTTTGAAAAAGCAGTTCTAATTCACAGTCAATTCCACTGCTACCTCAGTGAGTGGCTAATTGGTTATCATCCAACAAACTGTCCATGTCCTCTCTTGGAATTACGTCAGAGAACATGTTTACAAAATTTTCAGGGCAATTTTGTAAAAAGTCAGTTTTTCTCTAGTTCTGCAACCACTCAGTGCACATAATAATCCCCATTTGCCTGTTCCCCCATCATTGCCTATCCTTCCATCCTTACCACCTCCCTCCGAAGTATACTTAAACAAATTAGTACAATTCAACCACCAGAATGAGAAAAATAATCTCAAAAAGTTCCCTCTTTGTTGACCCAAGGTAAGTATCATCAAGACAATATATAGGAGTAGCAACTTGTAACTACTAACAAGCAAGTACTTCACAAAGCATCATTTTCTTCACCTGAGTCACTCTTATAACCTACTAAAGCTTTAAATTCAAGTTTCAATTTAATCAACTTATTTCCTGAACATTGACTAGGTTCCAAGAACTGATGGACATGTTCTGGGTATACAAAAACAATGATTCTAAAAATTGATGATAATAATAATAATCCCCACAGTTTCCACCTTCAGGAAACTCAAGTTCAGATAGGAAAATGTGTGTAAATTATTATGAACCTATGTGCTAAGTATAGCAATGTTTTGTGAACAAAGAGAAGAGCCTATTAATTAACTTTGGAGTGTAGGGGAGGGTTCAGAAACAGCTTCTTATAGATGATATTTGAGTTAAACATTGAATAGATTGTTAGGAATTTGCCAGTCAAAAACAAATGGGCAGGAGGGCAAGAACGTGACAGCTGAAGGGAAACCCATGCAAAGAACCTAAACCATGAAGATGACACAGAAACTTGAATGAATTCCAACAATTTAGTATGGTCAAGAAGCACATAATACAAGGTATGTGTTGGGTGAGGAGGTGGCTGGAAAGGGCAGTAATTATAGAGAAGCAGCCAGGGACCAGAAAATATAGAAGGATGCTAGACATCATGTTAAATAGTTTAGATGGGTGTGGCAGAAAAGATGGCTTATGCCCCAACATCTATCCTCCCTCTTAACTTAGAAACAGATCTCCTCATTTTTCGCTACACACATGATTACACAGAACACACACTACACCTCTCAGTCTCTTTAAGCAGCTAATCTGGGGAGGATGACATAAAAAGAACTGTAGGACACAACTTTAAACAGAGGGAATATTTGTTTCTTTATTTCTTTCTATATGCAGGCTGGCTAGAATGCAGAGGTGGACCTGGAGCCTGAGTAGTCCTTAGACCAAAGGACAGGAATTACACACTACAGCAGTAAGACACAGGGAAGCTACACCACTGAGAAGTTTGTTAAGGCACTCTATTAGATCAGGTTGCCTATCTCCAGACTTCTAGGAGGAAACACACCGCCACCACAATCAAACTACCGTACTTTTGAGTTTTCTCTCACTGATAGGACAACTGAATTCCAAAGGATCCAATACAGAGCCATAGAAGAAATTAGAGGAGAGACCAGATTACAAATGAAAGGAGGGTAAAATCAGGAATAGGGGTGATCTCTTAGGAAGCTGTTTTGGAAATCTAGGCCAAAGTTCTCCACTCTAACTAACTATCTGGGTCAAACTAGAATCATCTGAGAATTTTGTAAACCTATTCTCATATTCAGCACTGCTTGGCTTGCAAGGTTAAAAAATAGTTAAAATGAGCAAATGTAAATAAAGACTGTGAAAATTATAAAAATAATTACAAGTGTAATAGACTGATATTGGGCACACTAGAGGACATTTTAATTCTGGTCTCTTGTCCAAAATAGCCTGAAAGTTATTAAAAGGAAGAAATCTCCACTTAACAGCCAGACACAGTACGAACCCTAGAAGTTTTCAACTACAAGAAGAAATTGGCTTGCTTGAAGTCATGCAGATGGGAAGGAAAAGAACCTCTCTCTACATACATTCACTGCCAGCAGCCTGAATCTCAAAATAGCTTTTTACTGAGCCTCTTGAAATTTAGGTTAGGAGGATCTTCTCTGTGTGTCACTTAGCTCAGTGTCATGGTAAAATATGGCACTATCTTGGCAATGGAGTGATGTTGGTATGAGAGAAGATTCTTTACATTAATTATTTTCTGAAAGCACTGTAAAGTTAATCTCTGTTATAACACATAATCATACTAACAAAGTAATTTTCACAAAATCAAGATAGTAACCTATATTCTGGTATCCAGTCTAAAGCTAAGATACATAATTTGTTTTTTTAATGAATCATTACATTCAGTTCTTGAAGACAAAAACATAATAATAGAAATTAAAGGTGCAAGTGCAACATAACTTTCACTAAAAAGATTTTAAGATCTGCTATAAAACAAGTCAATTATATTAATATAAATATCAATATAATGATATATATTTTTTGAATACTTACTTTCAACAAAATATCCACAATTCGCTGTTGATATTCCACAGCTTGTTTGTCATTTTTAAAATCTTCAAAAGTCTAAAAAAGAGAAACAAAATCTTTTAAGTTATTATTTGCAAATTGTAAAGGAAGCAAATCATTAAATTCTTGAGAATAATATCTAAGGAAATTCCCAAATAAGTAAATTCCTCATTAGTTTTTTAATACTAAGTTATTTTTAGTAAGAAGAAAGCTAATGCACTTAGTATTGCACAGCATTTGGAGACTTTAACATAAGAAGTATAAAAATATAGTGGTTATCACACAACCAAAAAAGCAATTTGAGAAAAGAAAGCAAAGTCTACTGGTTGGAGCAAAAAAGAAGAAGGGAAAGAACACTAATGGCAAGAGGCAATGTGAGAGAAGGGGGAAGACTAGAAGATGCCAGATTATGTGCTCAGCCATCAGTTTGTTACTTGGAAGTAATAATTTTCATGGTTCCAGTAACAATTAAGAAAAATGTTCAAAGGTAGGCCTTTAAAAAATTATGACAGTAAAACCGCTTAAGTATTAATATTCTTCATTCTACTTACAAGGAATAGGTAGGTATACTTTTCTCAAAATACTGCCAAGTACAGAACTTTTTGTTTTATATCTCTGCTCAAGCGGAGCCAAACACGGTTTAAATATAACATATTAAAAAGTAAATGACAGTACCAGATTCTACCTTCTCACATATGAGAATAACCAACAGTACCCCACTCACTCCCACGCCCACCCTAGCCTGCTTAAATGAGATGTCACTCTGCAGGTACAAACAGAAGGTGCTGTCTGCTAATGCAAGTGCTATTCAACTAAGATACAAAACCATGTAGAATGTTGGCAGTATATAAAAGCAAGCCACATAAACACCTAACACATAGAGGATGCACGTAAGAAGAAACTGCAGCTGTATCCACTATTAAGAAATTGAAATGGAGGGATCTGGCGATGTGGCAGAGCAGGTTAAGTCACTGCCTGTGATGCCTGCGTCCCATATGGGCGCTGGTTCATGTTCCAGCTGCTCCACTTCCAAGCTAGCTCCCTGATAATGTGCCTGAGAAAGCAGTGGGAGGTGGCCCAACTGCTTGGGCTCCTGTACCCTGTGAGAGATCTGGAGGAAGCTCCTGACTCCTGGCTTTGGCCTGGCCCAGCTCTGGCCCTTGCAGCCATTTGGGGAGTAAGGCAGTGGATGGAAGATCTCTCTCCCACTGTCTCATCTTCTCTCTGTGCAACTCTACTTTCAAATAAATAAATCTTTAAAAAGAAAAATGAAATGGAAATATTTATTGAACAATTGGAAAGATAAAAGACTTGAAGATCTTTTGTATGGTTTTCACTGTAGTATATTTGGTTCTGAAGAAATGCTTAAATCCACATGGCAATAATTTCCTATTATCCTGAACCAAGAAAATGAACTACATATTGTCCCAATAGGTAAAACAAACAAAAAAAATTGCTGTTTTTTCTTTTTTAAGGTTTATTCATTTATTTATTTGAAAGGCAGAGTGTCAGAGAGAGAGGGAAAGACAGAGACAAAAAGACCTTCTATCTACCAGTTCACTCCCCAAATGGCTGCTGCAGCCAGGGAGAAGCCAGGCCAAAGCCAGGAGTCAGGAACTTCATCTAGATCACCAACACGAGCATCAGGGACCCAAACACTTGGGCCAACATCCTGCCTTCCCAGGCCCATTAGCAGGAAGATAGATCAGAAGCAGAGCAGGCAGGACTTGAATTGGCCCTCTGATATGGGAAGCCAGCCTTGCAAGTGGTAGCCTAACACTGCACCACAACATTGACCCCCGACTTCCTGTTCTTTAAGTGGGCACTGAATTTTCCCTATTTCTTCAAAGTACCTTCATATATGTTCTCTTAATAGCATGTTATCCCCCTCCTTTCCTATCTGGCACATAGTAGGAACTTAATAAATGACTGCTGAATTGCCTAATTACATACATTATACAGAGAAAAACAAAATACTTTAAACTTTTGTTTTAGCTGGTCTGCCTTGCTGGTAATTAATTGAGAAGTGCTGAAATGAGTCACCAAGGAGACTGGAGGAACTCTTAATTGGAATGCTCAAACAGGAGATATTCTGATGTTCACGTGGGTTACCTTTGACACTTACTGCAGACAGAGACAGAATGGAAAGTGTCTCAGTTCCCTGTTCTGATTTATGAGAACCAAAAACTCTCCCCCTTCCATCCTACCACAGCACTCCAATCCCAGGCCCCTCAAGTGCAACCTCATGCTGCAGGTACCAACAGAAGGTACTTTCTGCCAAGACTAGTGCTTCAACTAAAATACGAAACCATGTACAATTAACATATGTATTTAAAAATAAAACACAGCAGTGACTTCAAGCAAAAAGGAATTTCCTTGACTATTTTCCTGTTGGCAGCATTTAGTCACTATTTTGAAAAAGATATTGGAAGCTTGCTCCTATAAACATAATTAAATGGTGACATACTACAGAGTGAATATTATGATACATGCAATGACATATTTTGGTGATTGTTTAACAACTGTCACCAAAATGGCATACCATTGCTAGAACATTATCAAGCCACAAAGATATTTCCAATTCTGCAATACCTGTTAGAAGTAAATATACAAACACATCCTAATGGGGAATACAGTGTGTGAAGTACAAAGGCAGACTGAAAACCCAGGTTCAAAATCATCTGTAATTAGGGCTGGCACTGTGGCATAGTGAGCTAAGCCTCTGCCTGCAGCGCCGGAATCCCACTAGGGCATCAGTTTGTATCCTAGCTGCTCCTCTTCCGATCCACCTCTCTGCTAAGGACAGGGAAAGCTGTGGAAGATGGCCCAAGTGCTTGGGCCTCTGCATCCTGGTTCCTGGCTTTGGATGGCTCAACTCCAGCCATGGCAGCCTTCTGGGGATTGAACCAGCAGATAGAAGACCTTTCTCTGTGTCTCTCCCTCTCTCTGTCTGTAACTCTACCTTTCAAATAAATAAATAATATCTTAAAAAAATTTATCTGTAATTGTCGCTCCCCCTCTTCGCAGAGGAACGACACTAAACCCTGCGCTGTTCTTTTGTCTGCTCGGCCCTCCCCGGGTTTGCTGCTGGTCCTTCCCGGGTTGGCTGCCGATCCTTCCACCTCCTTGGAAGGGCAGCTCCCCCTGCCACTTTCCCCACTTCCGCAGGGGAGCGGCACACCGCTGGCCGGCTCTCTCGGGGGCTGCTCAGATGTTATCCGGATGTTCCCCTTAGATGTTCCCAGTGCATGTTGTCTCTCTCCTCCTTTATAGTCCTCTTCCACCAATCCCAACTCTGCTACCCATACGCCGAGTACACTGCTCTCCTCCAATCAGGAGCAGGATCAGCTCCTGCAGGTTATTGGTCGAACTGGAGGCAGCTGTGTAAAAGTTGTTTACTCCTCTCCCAGCGCCATATTGTGGGAGAGCAGATGCATAGAATAAGTCTTAATTCCAGTAACTTAATCTAGTCCGAGTTGCTCCCCACATGTAATCCCTTAAAAAGTGTTATGGGGGTGGAGGTTTGGGGCAGGCACTGTGGTGCAAATGGTTAAGTCTCCACTTGGGATGCCCACATCCTGTATCGGGGGTCTGGAACAGAACCCCACCTCTACTATTTTTTTTTTAAGATTATTCATTTGAAAGGAGGAGTGACAGAAGAAGAGTGACAGGGGGAAGGAGAGAGATCTTTCATTCATTGGTTCACTCCCTAAATGGCTGCAATAGCCAGGGCCAGGTCAGGCTAAAGGTAGGTGCCAGGAATTCCATTCAAGTCTCACACATGGGAGTGGCCATTTCCATTGCCTTCCCAGGCAGGCACATTAGAAGGAGGCTAGATCAGAAGTAAAATGGTGCTGCCTGCTAGGCCAGCATCCTATATGGACACCAGTTCAAGTCCCGGATGCTCCACTTCTGATCCAGCTCCCTGCTAATGTGCCCAGGAAGGCAGTGAAGGCTGGCCCAAGTGCTCTGGTTCCTACATCCATGTGGAAGACCTGGAAGAGGCTCCTGGCTTCGGCTTGACTCAGCCATGGCTGTTTCAGCCATTTGGGGAGTAAGCCAGTGGATGGAAGATCTCTCTCTGTGTCTTTCCCTCTCTCTGTACTCTTTCAAATACATAAATAAGTTTAAAAAGAAAAAAAGTAAAATAGCCAAGACTTGAACCGGGCACTCCTATTTGAGAAGGCAGCCTTGCAAGTGGTGGCTCAATATGCTCTTCTATGATGCTCGCCCCCCACCTCCACTTCTGACCCAGCTACTATTAATACTCCTGGGAGGCAGCAGATGATGGCTCAAGTACTTGAGTCCCTATCCCTCATGTGGGAAGACCAGGATGGAGCTCTGAGCTGTTGCAGGCACGTGAGGAATGAACCACTAGATAGAATCTCACTTGGGGAATGAACCAGTAGATGCAATATCTATCTTGCTCTCTCTGTTGCTCTGCTTTTCATATAAAAGACACTGAATAAACATTAAAAAAAAAAAAAAACTTTGATGGAGTTTCTGTTGACAATGACAGAAAGCTAAATCTTATTCCATGGGTCAACAAATATTCTCTGAACAGGCCAGATAGTAAATATTTCAGGCTTTGTGGGCTACATACAATTTTTATCACATATTATTCTTGTTCTTTTTTACGTTTCTTAATAACATAAAAAACATTCTTTGCTTGCACAGGCCAGGGGCCAAGGCTGGATCAGGTTTGTAGTTATAGTTTGCAGACTCTGTCTTAATCTCCTTACACATCTCCCTTAAGATCTCTGTATAATAAAGAGCAAAAGGAATCATCTGCAACACATGGTAATGGAAAACTAAAGGATAATAAACACTACAAACTTCAAATTATATACATGTGAGGAAAAAAAATCCCAAATTAGCAAGTATTGGCTACAAAGCACACACCAGAAAGAAGTCAAACTAGGACCGTGAAGAAGAAAGATGGATGGGACAAGGTTCTAGAGGTAGTAGAACACTTGTAACTTTAAACAGAATTCACCTCCACAAGAAAAGAGGGACCCATCCTGAGATAAGGTCTGAGACGTGTGCAGCAGAGTACTGCCCTTAGAAAGATCAAAAGATGGACCTGGTACGTGTGAACAAGAGGTCTGGGTAAGATATGCCTTCTGGTTCAAGTCCTGGCTGCTCCACCTCTGATCCAGCTCCCTGCTGATACACCTGGGAAAGCAGTGGAAGATGGGCCCCTGCATCCACGTAGGGGACCCGGAAGAAGCTCCTGACTCCTGGCTTTGGACTGGCCCAGCTCTGGCAGCTGTGGCCATTTGGGGAGTGAACCAGGGGATAGAAGATTTCTCTCTGTGTAACTCTGCCTTACAAATAAATAAAATAAACCTTTAAAGGAAGAAAATTTATTTTTTTTTTAATTTATTTGACAGGTAGAGTTACAGTCAGTGAGAGAGAAAGACAGAGAGAAAGGTCTTCCTTCTGTTGGTTCACCCCCTAAATGGCTGCAACAGCCGGAGCTATGCTGATCCAAAGCCAGGAGCCGAGTGCATCTTCCTGGTCTCCCACATGGGTGCAGGGGCCCATGCACTTGGGCCATCCTCCACTGCCCTGCCAGGCCACAGCAAAGAGTTGGACTGGAAGAGGAGCAACCAGGACTAGAACCCGGTGCCCATATGGGATGCCGGTGCCGCAGGTGGAGGATTAACCTACTGCACTATGGTGCCAGCCCCAAGAAGAAAATTTAAATCTAACCAGGAACTTGATGGCATTAGAAGTTGGGGCTTTTAGGAGGTGATTAGACCACAAAGGTGGAACTTTCATGAATGGGATTAGAGGCTTTATAAAAGAAATACCCCTTGCTTTCCAGCCACGTGAGGACACATAGGAGAAATTTCCTGAGGAAAGGGCTCCTCAGCAGACACAGGGCCTGCCAGGGCTGGATGTTGGACTTGCAACCTCCAGAGCTAAACAAATAATAGAGAAATAAATGTCTGTGCATAGTCTCAGACTATGGTATTTTGCTATAGCAGCCCAAACTGACTAAGAAATATGAATCAGAGTATAAATCATGATATTCCTCTTCCTCAAAGGCTTCATAAATTTCTTACTACAGATTGCAAGATTCAGAGACTATCTCTATGGATTTGTTTCTGTATTTTTCCTTATACTTAAAGATAGAGTCAATAGGAGATGGCATTGAGTCATAGTAGGCTAACCCTCCGACTGTGGCACCAAAATCCCATATGGGCACCAGTTCGTGTCCCGGCTCTCCTCTTCCAATACAGCTCTGTGCTATGGCCTGGGAAAGCAGTAGAAAATGGTCCAAGTACTTGGGCCCCTGCACCCACGTGGGAGACCTGGAAGAAGCTCCTGGCTCCTGGCTTCAGATCACTTCAGCTCTGGCCCTTGTGGCCATCTGGGGAGTGAACCAGGAGATGGTATTCCTTCTCTGTCTCTGTCTCTCTACAACTCTATCTCTCAAATAAATCATGGAAAAAAAAAAAAGATACAGCCAAACTGATTTTTTTTTTCAGTTACATGATTGTACATTGTTCTATTTAATTTCTAAGATCTTTCCAAATATTATTTTCTTTTGCCTAGAATACCTCTACTCTTCATCCAACTTGTACTTATCTTTTGAGACTTAGCACAGACACCATTTCAACCAAGAAAGATTCTTTAACCCTCTCTGAGCTACCCTAATCAGTGTCCCTACAGCATCCTGTACTTCCCCCAAGGCTGCATTATACTATGCTATAATCACTCATCTACAAGTGTGGCTCCTCTTTATCCACAGGGCAGGTTTACATCCTGTCAGCCAAGGTTGCATTCTCCAGTGAGCACAGTATGGGGGATGTTCCAGGGCACTGGAACATTTGTCAAGAAAATAAGATATTGTTTTATAGCCTTACTCTAATCCAATATTATAATTTAGACGTCAGCATCATTCCAAATGTGTTTCAGGGCTACCACAGTCCTTTAAAACAATGAAAATTAAATAAAACTTTTTGTTTTCTCTACCATTCTTCCCAAACGCTCAGCCCCATCACTTTGTTTCTTTTTTCCTACAAGCCCATTACCAAAATGTTTATGTTCTCCTTTAAACATCTAAGGTCTCCTAAACCAACTAAATCTAACTTCCAGTTCTAAGTATCTCCTTTCTCATTCATATGCAGTTGAGGGCACTACTAATGAAATCAGGCTTTCAAATTAAACTAAAGTATGATACAATAACCTTCTCATGGATATTTAGCTTTTAAACACAATTTAATAGTTTATATTATTCAACTTACAAAAGTAGTATAAGCTTATTGGGGAAATTTGCTCCATCTCACACAGTCAATATTAATATTTAAATGTATTTCTTTCCTGTTTTTTCTCTAAATATTGCACATATGTGTGTATTTTACATATTTGTGAGCCTGCTACTTTCACTAAACACTGAAACATAAGCATTTTCCATGTTATCAGAAGCTTTTTATAAAACAACTCTAGTACTATTTAATTGGGAAGATAAATCATGTTTTAGAGCATTGTTCCCCTAGAGGCATTTTCACAGAGAACCTGGCTCATCCAAATTCCTCTCTAATTAAACACATAACAGGGAATGTTTCAGCAGGAAGCTTCCGTGCTCCATTTCAACCACAGTTGTTCCCACTTACCAGCACCGGCACCGGCACCGGCACGTCCCTCAGAGCCCTCAGCTGTGATTAGCATGTCAGGTAATACAGTTTATGAAGCCAGAGCTGCACCATACCTAGTCCTGCTCTCTTTAACTTTGTGATGAGTATGCTTGAGAATGGGGGGCGGAGATTAAAGAGAAAATACGGGTGGCAAAAAATTAAACATCTGAAACCTTGGTTTACTGATGTGGCACAAAATTTGTACCTGCATAAGGATTGTCATTTTTCTTTCTTTCTATTAAAAAAATATTACCCTGGCTTATTTGGAAATATCTTAAAAATCATCCTATCTCTTACCAACGCCAATACATTTAGAAATTCTCTTGTGTCAAAATGTAGCAGAGTCCGGACATACGGATAGATTTCTTCCTCAGGGGAAGCTTCTGCCGAATGCAGGCGAATTAGAAATTCAAAAACCTGCAAGTTAAAAAAAGGCTGATTATTTTCTCACCTTGCAAAGTTATCTTTCCGAGGCAATGTTTCTCACTTGGATAAACCGAAGACAGGTTGAATTCAGTTTAAATTGCCCTTATGTTATATGTTTACCTTTAAATCCTCTCTCAGCTCGTATTACAGACTTTAATGATAGTGTGTAGGCTCTCTCCTATGATGGGCAAAAGTTCCTGTCCCAGGTGAATTTTCACCTGCAATTTGTCTTCAGTGCATTTTAACACAAGGTATAGAGAATAAAACCACCTTGAAAACAGACCAACCTGGTTTTTAACCAAGGGAACAAGATCTTCAGGGATGTCACCCAACGGATAGGCACGACCTGCTAGACAACAGCTAGAAGAAAAGAATGAGAACAGATCTGGTGATTTGTAAAGGCGTAACTTTCAAGAAACAAACTGCTTTTCAACTCTGAGATACTAGTGATGAGGAACAGATTAGCTAAGGCCTCATAACCCAACATATAGAAACAGCCTAATGGCACCATTAAACTATGACTTACCTGCTGAAAGCCTGATGTTCCCAGAGACTTTTAAATCAGTGCCTCTAAGAATGGTGATTAAAGACAGAGAATGAACAGGGCCAATAAAAGTCTGGACAATGTGTGCAACAGGACAAGCCTTCAGGGAGAGTTAGAATCTGAAGAGAAACCCACACTACAGTTTTACATGAAAACCAGACCTTCTCTGTGACTAATTTGCCTTGTGGGCTGAATGATTACAAATGCTTTCTGAGTGCATCTTCCTTTTTCCTATCATTTGGGGTGGGGGCAAATTTTAAACGTCTTTGAACAAGTCATCAGTTCTCAATGTTAGGCAGAGACGAGACACCAGCATATTCTCAAGAGTTCAAAGGACAGATGATGAAGCACTAGGTGAATGCTGCATATGTTCTACACTGAAGACTCAATGACATAAATGCAAAACAGGCCTCAGAGTTAACTCACATTAGATAGGAGCTATGACATTCTGGAAGGTTCTGCCATCTTCCTGTCCTCCTGCTAACCAGCTATCTATCTGAAAGTTCTATGAGCACTCAATTCTGAGCCATCACAGTCCATCAGGCATGAACTCTGCTCCAGGAGCCAGGACATAAACATTCTACCTTTTTCCTCTGTCATCAACTTTTTCGTGACATAAACAACATATATTCCAGGGTTGTTGGTAGTAAAATACTCTACACATCAGTGTTTCCCAACCTCAGCCCTATTGATATTTGGGGCCAGATACTTCTTTTTTACAATTATTCATTTACTTGAAAGGCACGGCATCAGAGTGAGAGAATGAGCCATCTGCTGGCTCATTCCTCAAATGGCCACACAGCAGGGGTTGGTCCAGGCCAAAGCCAGGCACCCAAAATTACATCTGGGTTTCCTACATGGCAAGAGCCCAAGTATTCTGGCCATCATCTGCTGTTTTTCCAGCACATTACTAGGGAACCAGATTGAAACACAGCAGCCAGGACTTGGACCAACACTCTGTTATGGGATGCTGGCATCCTGCTATGCCACATATTCTTCATTGTGGGGGAAACTCTGTGCACAACAGCATGCTAAGGCAGCATCCCTGGCCTCTGAGTACTTGATATCAGTGGTGTCTGTCCCATAGTGCTCTCCAGGTGTCAAAACTGAACAAAGCTGTAGACAATGCCTAATATGTTTGAGGGGCCAGAGATAAAATTATACATGGTTGAAAACCATTACTTTACATAAAAGAACTCTGAAACATGAAAAGCATTCTGCAGAAACAATAGAATAGTACCTCTAAAAACATAGGGGAAAAATACAGAGGGAACATACATACAAATAAATAAGTAAAAATATCTTACCTAATATATACGAGAAGCTTGTTGCCCATAATAACTTGCTCATCTAAGGTAGAAAGAAAAGTATGGTCAAAAACTCTATCCTCAAGATCTTTCAGAAATATAATCTTTATATGGAAACAAAAATTAAAAGTTTCTACTTAAGGTAAGGTAAATATATTCCCAAATAACTTAAGACTGATGTAATAACACTTCATTGTCTTTTGAAATTCCATTAAATTCTTTTCACAGACACAAAATCAGTCTGAGTTATTCAAGGATGCACATAGAAGGAACAGGTCCGTGGGCAGAGACCTATGCATTGTTGGCTTCCCTTCTAAACCAGGGCCAGGGAAAGGTGAACGATGCCCCAACAAATTGTAGATCACAGCCCATTAATCAAGACTGAGGCATAACCATAAGTCTTCTCATCTGCAACATAGACTTTCACCATCCCTGATGCTCTAGGGCCCAGAAGGCCACTCTTCCCAAACTATTAGAGTCCTTTCAAAAAGATAATCAGACCAAGTTTTAAGACAAGGGAAACATAGAATGGGATAGAAGGATTAATAAGGATGAAATGATCAGAAATGCTTATAGTGTGCAGATCACAGAAATCTGTAGTTGGTAATAATGAAATGTATTTTTGGTACCTGAACAATGGATATAATGCACGCCAGTCTACTGGCTACTTTTACCAGGAATGCATTTTTTTTTTGCCAGCTTTAGATTTGTCTATTAAAAAGATTTTCACTAAATATGTTTTCATTTTAAAAAAAAGATTTATTTATTGAATGGCAGAGCAACACAGAGGGTAAGAGAGAAGACTTCCATTTGCTGGTCCACTAATCCTTTTCAAATGCTCTAATGCAAATGAACTCGAATTGCTCAAAGTTATATGAATAATTATATTTTGCTTCAATTCCAAATGTTATTTAATTCAACTTAACTAGTATGACACATGGCAGCAATCACCGTTCTGGTATAGCAAGTTCATGTTCATTGGTTAGATAAAATACCTCTATTTCTAGAAATCTCAGGTAGAATGTACCTGGCTCATGGTTCCTAGAGAGTTCAACATTCCCATCTCCATAATTCATGACTACGAGTTTCTTAAGAGCAGGAAGACTGTGCTAGCTCTGTATTCCCAGTATCTGGCACACAAGTAGGTGATTAGTAAATGTAGACTGACCTGCACTGACATTGTACTTAATTTTCTACAACTTTTCTCTTCCTGAAATCTTCTTTTAGACAAATTTCGGTCGTAAAAGTTCAACAATTCAATTTGGATTTATCAATACTGAACTCTACTTGCATGTATAGATATATACGTAAAAGGCAATTCTCAAGTATGTTTTACCAAGAGGAGGCTCAGGGCCACAATAGGTATGAGGGACTAAGACCGTACAAAAATGACTCTCCCTGCCCCAGCCTTTACACAAATCTGCAAATCCGGGGGACAGTACAAAATCTAACACGTTACTGAAGAGTGAAGGAAAGCACACAAGTCTGGCAGGGAGTCAGTCACCTGGGAGAGGGCCACACCTTTCTCCTCCAGGGCCTTTCCCTGCATGAATTACTTGGCAGCACATACAAAGTGGGGAGACAACCAGAAAAGTGAAGCTGGACAGCATCAGTGTGGAAGAGAAATGGACAATTCCACAAAGGAAATGGTTTAAGAGGAGATCTTTAAATCGCCCACATCTGTGATTGATGTCTAAATCACTATGCAGGAAACACACACACACACACACACACACACACACACACACACCAAAAACCTCAAAGCAGTCAGTCAAAGGCAGAAAATCAGAAAGACCAGAATTCCCTCCTTGAGGACACTGGAGGGTGAAGAGAAGCAGACGGGCCCTGGCGGGCAGTTCTCTCGGCATGGAGCAGTGGAGACAGAGCAGCACAGGTGAACTGCATCCCCTGCAACTTTTTGCCTGAAACTAAGTGCAGTCGGCTTGGCATGCACAGTAGAGGCGGGGCACACATGAGGAAAACAGGGATCTCTCTGGGCAGAGTAACCAAGAGAAGCTAGGAAGCATAAATAGTTAAAAGATTGGCAAAATCCTGCAGAGAGCCAGAGTGGGATGCCCAAGTCTTCCCTCATCATTGTCTGACCCAAGCATCACCCATGTGAATCAGAATCAAAGCAGATCAGCTAAAGACACGAGATCTGAACAGAGACTAAAGCTGACAAGAGAAACAGAGTTTAAAATTCGAGCCTAGCAATCTATGCCCTAGATGCCATCCCAGGCTCTAGCCCCTTCTGCCATGGCTCAAAGTCAGGGGACCCCATGGCCCAACCACCAACCACCGGTGTCAGCTCCATCCCCACCCTAATGGGATTTGTTGCTCCTACTTCCTTGCCTGCCCCCGGCAAAGTTTTAAGAAGACCTGTTCCTGAACAAGTGGCTCTCTCAATCTCTTTCTCTCTCTGTCTCTTGATCTCTCTTACTCTCTCCTTCTTCCACTTTTCCTTCTTTGACTCTTTCCTCTGGTCTGCCATGTTTCCTCCAATAAAACTTTTCCTTTTTAAAAAAAAAAATGAAGCCTAGTCAAGAAAATCATCTGGTAAAACAGAAGATAGAAACATTTATTGGAGGGGCTGGTGCCGTGGTGCACTGGGTTAATCGTCCGCCTGCGGTGCCGGCATCCCATATGGGTGCCAGTTCTAGTCCTGGTTGCTCCTCTTCCAGTCCAGCTCTCTGCTATGGCCTGGGATAGCGGTAGAAGATGGCCCTGCACCGGCATGGGAGACCAGGATGAAGCACCTAGCTCCTGGCTTCAGATCAGTGCAGCTCCAGCCATTGCAGCCAACTGGGGAGTGAACCAACAGAAGGAAGACCTTTCTCTCTGTCTGTCTCTCTCATTGTCTGTAACTCTACCTGTCAAATAAATTAATTAAAAAATCTATTTAAAAACATTTATTAGAGAAAAACCACAGAATCCAGAAATCTCCACAATGGAACACTGTATCCAGAATTCAAAATCACTCAGCATATGAAGAATGGAGGAGCTAAGCCTCATTCTTCTTAAGATAAAATCAATCAAATTCCATCTTGACATGGAACAAAATGTTAGAACAGACAAGGATTTTAAAGCAACTACTGCAACAAAACATGTTTAATGTACAAAAATTCAACAAATGAAGAGTTGCAGCAGAGAAATCATGAAGAACTAAATGGAACTTAGATTGAAAAATATGGAGACAGCACTGTGGCTAGTGGGTTAAGCTGCCTTCTATAGTGCTGGCATCCCATATGGGCAACAGTTGGTGTCCCGGCAGCTCCACTTCCAATCCAGCTCCCTGCTAATGGTATGGGAAAGCAGTGAAGGATGGCCAAAGTGCCTGTACCCCTGCACCCACATGGGAAGCCCAGAAGAAACGCCTGGCTCCTGGCTTCTGATTGGCTTAGCTCCTGCCATTGCAGCCATTTGGAGAGTGAACCAGCAAATGGAAGATCTCTCTCTCTATCTCTTCCTTTCTGTTGCTGTTAATTCTGCCTTTGAAATAAATAAATAAATCTTAAAAATTAAAGATTGAAAAATATAATTGTTGAACATAAGAATTCACTGAATGGATTTAGCAGAAGAATTAACATGAAAGAGGAAAGAGTAAGTTAATCTGAATGTAGAATAACAGAAATTGTCCAATGTGAAGAATGGAGAGTAAAAAGGATCAAACAAAATAAAAGCAACACAAAACCCAGAGGGACAGACCACTGAAATGGTGGAGATAAAGTAAATTAATAAAATTTTTTAAAGCACAAAAACAAGCTAACATTGTGGCACAGGGGGTTTAACCACTGCTTATGTCAACACCCTACATGAGATCACCAGTGTAAGTCCTGGCTGCTCTGCTTCCCATCAAGCTCCCTGCTAATGTGTACAGGAAGGCAGTGGAATATAGCCCAAGTGCTTGGGCCCCTGCCATCCATGAGAGAGACCCAGATGGAGTCCTTGGCTCCTGACTTAGTCTGGCCCAGCTCTGGCCATCACAGCCATTTGGTGAGTGAACCAGAGGACAGAAGATCTCTTTTCCTCTGTCTCTTCTTTGCTATCAATCTGTCTTGCATACACACACATACACATATACACACACACACACACACGTATATATATATTTAAATTCAAAAGAGCAAATTACAAAATTCAGTAATAAAAGGGGAGTCATCACTACTGACCTTATAGAAATAAATGGAATTATAAAGATTACTATAAACAAATATATTCCAACAAGATAATGTAGACAACATGGATAAATTCCCAAGAATTCACAAAGTACTTAAACAGACTGACTCATGAAGAAAGAGAAAATCTGAATAGATTTTTTAAAAGAGTATTCTTCTTTTTTCTTGAAGATTTAGTTATTTATTTGAAAGGCAGAGTTACAGAAAGAGAGGAGGAAACACACACACAGAGAGAGAGAGAGAGACAGACAGATCTTCTGTCTGCTGGTTTACTCCCCAAGTGGCCATAACAGCCAGGGCTAGACCTGGTCAAAGCCAGATACCAGGAACTTCTTCTAGGTCTCCAATATAAGTACAAGGGCCTAAGCACTTGGGCCATGTTCTGTTGTTTTCCCAGATGCATTAACAGGAGCTGGATCATAAATGGTGCAGCCAAAATTTGAACCAACACACATATGGGATGCTGGCATCGCAGATGGAGGCTTAAACCACTATGCCACAATACCAGCCACAGATATATTCTAATAAGCAAAGAAATTAAACTGAAGTAAGTCTCAATGTGTCCTCCAAAACTCATATGTTGGAAACTTTATCCCCAAAGCCACAAGTTGGGAGGCGAGGGCTTTTGGAAGTTTTCCAGGTTACAAGGGCTCCACCTAACACACGGATTAATTCCATTATAAAAAGGGCATTGTGGAGTGGGTTTGCCCTCTTTTATTTTTCTATCAAGTGGGGATGTGATATCTGTCCACACTCCCACCCCCTGCCGCCACCCATGTGAGAACAAAGTAAGAAAAGACACCAGATGCCAGCACTTGATTGTGGACCGCTCAGCCTCCAGAACGGTGAGAAGTAAGTTTCTGTTCCTTAGAACCTATCCAGCCTCAGTTGTTCTTGCACAAAACAGACTAAGTAAGCAGTACTTTCAAAACTTCCAGCAAAGAAAAGCATAGGCCTCCCTCTGACCCATACTCCTACTCTTTCTTCTCCCTCTTCCTCTCCCATTCTTATTTTGATAGAGATAAATTTTCAGATATTTTTATACACATAGAATTAACTCTAGACTAAGTAGAGAGTTCACCAATTAGTATGAAGAAAAAAGAAAGAAAAAAATATTGTTTTTTGACAGTTAAGGCAAAAGCTGTTCAAAATCAATGAATCTTAAAGTGTCAGTTTTGCTCCTACAGATTGTATTTTAGGTATTCTATTAGTTACTACAGATCAGAGAGACCATATGGAATTCTTAATAGATCCTGGATACTAATCCTTTATTAGCTGCCAGTTTGCAAATATTTTCTCCCATTCTGTTGGTTGCCTCTTCACTTTGTAGAGTGTTTCCCTCGCAGTGCAGAAGCTTCTTAGCTCGATTTAATTCCATTTGTCTATTTTTTATTTAACTGTCTGTGCTTCTAGGGTCTTTTTCAAGAAATCTTTGCCTATACCAATGTCTTTCAGTCTCCTTGATGTTTTCCTCTAGTAATTTGATGGTATCAGATTGTAAATTTAGATCCTGATCCATTTAGAGTTGATCTTTGTATAAAGTGTAAGGAGGGTCTTATTCCGCATGCATAGATCCAGTTTTCCCAGCACCATTTGTGAGAACAGTGTCCTTTCTCCAGGGATTGATATAAGTTTCTTGTTGAAGATAAGTTGGTTGAAGATGTGTAGATTAATTTCTGGGTTTTCTAGTCTGTTCCATCAGTCTACTTGTCTAATTCTGTACCAGTACCAGGCTCAAAAAGACAAAAATCATATGTTTTCTCTGATATGTAGCAGTTGATACAGAATACAAAAAAATGTACAGGAATGAAATGGATATCTTGTGATATGATTGTTGACTTTAGCCCTTGTTTACACTCCTGTGGAGCTATGGCCTTCCTACTTTTTATTTGTTGAATATTATCATTAGTGGAGAATTAAGCCTGTGATTATGGAGGGGACTGAAGTTATGTCTTTGCAAAAATTAAAGGAAGAAAAAAAGAAAGGAAAGAAGGAGGGGGACTAAGGAAGGGAGAGGGAGAGGAAGGGAGGTATGGTTAACATTTTAAAATTATACCTATGGAATACAGGATATCTGTTCTATTTAGCTTAAAATTTTAAAAAAATCAACATGCAAAAATAAATTTTTTTCTATACACTTACAATGAGAAGGAAAAATAAATAAAATGAAGGGTAAAATGTCATTTATAATAGCATCAAAATAAATAAAATATTTAGGAATAGATTTAACAAATGAAATATATGACTTATACATTGAAAACTGAAAAATATTCTTGAAGGAATTAAAGAAGACCTGAGTGCATGGAAAGCTATTTGGTGTTCATGGATTGGACAACTTAGTAATGTAGTAATGTTAAGACAGAAATCCCCCTTGAGTTGACCTATAGATTCAAGGCAATCATTAAAATCTCAGCTGCTTTTTTTTTCAGGTATTAGGAAAGCATATTTATTTTGAGACCAAAATAAATAGAGAAACATCCAAGTCATAGGGTAGAAGTCTCAACTTTGTTAAGATAGTGATTCCTCCAAAATTAATCTGGAGTCAACGCAATCTTAAACTTCTAACAAGCATTTTAAAAGAAACTGATGAGCTGATTTTAATGTTTATATGGAAAGGCAAAGGGCCTAGACTATATAAACCAATTTTGAAAACAGATAAACCAAAAAAGTTGGAGGACTACAGGTACCTGATTTTAAGGCTTGCTATAAAGTTACACAATAACCAAGACATTATATTATTGGCAGTATAAACAGAATAGAGAATCCAGAAATAGACCCATAGTTAATAGTTAACTGACTTTTGACAAAGACATTAGGTAGGGGCTGTTGCTGTAGTGCAGGGGGTTAAGCCACCATATGCAGTGCCGGCATGTCATGTGGGCACCAATTTGTATCCTGGCTGCTCTGCTTCCAATCCAGCTCCCTGCTAATGGATTGAGAAAGCAGAGGAAGATAGCCCAAGTGCTTGGGCCCCTGCACCCAGGAGACCTAGAAGAAGCTCCTGGTTACCAGCTTCAGTGTGGCCCAGCCCTGGCTGTTGAAACCATTTGGGGAGTGAACCAGCGTATGGAAGACCTCTCTCTCTGTCTCTCCCCACTCTCTCTAACTCTGCCTTTCAAACAAAATAAAATAAATCTTAAAAAAAAAAAAAAAAAAGATGATGATGACACTGGGTAATTCAATAGCGACAAGACAATCTCTTCCAAAAAGAGTACAAGGATGGCTGGCGCCGCAGCTCACTAGGATAATCCTCCACCTGTGGCGCCGGCACCCGGGTTCTAGTCCCCGTTGGGGTGCCGGATTCTGTCCTGGTTGCTCCTCTTCCAGTCCAGCTCTCTGCTGTGGCCTGGGAAGGCAGTGGAGGATGGCCCAATTTCTTGGGCCCTGCACCCGCATGGGAGACCAGGAGGAAGCACCTGGCTCCTGGCTTCAGATCGGCGCAGCACACCAGCCATAGCAGCCATTTGGGGGGTGAACCAACGGAAGGAAAACCTTTCTCTCTCTGTCTCTCTGTCTGTCAATCTCTCTCACTGTCTAACTCTGCCTGTCCAAAAAAAAAAAAAAAAAAAACTCAACAAGATACAATTATATACCCATTAGAATGGCTAAAGTTTACAAAAATATTTTAAAAGACTGACAGTATCAAATACTTGCAAGGATGTGGAGCCACTAGAACTTGCATACATTGCTGATAGAAATGCAAAATGGCACAATCATTTCTGAAAGTGCATACAGCAATACTTTATAGATCAAAACACAGATTTACCACATAGTCTGGTCTTCCAATCCTAGATATCTGCCCAAGAAAAATGAACACAAATGTCCACGGAAACTGGTTATAGCTAGAGGTCAGAAATGGGGGTAAATCAACATGATGGGTACTTATGGTGATGAAGTTATTCTGTATCTTGACTTTCTCAATGGGATATCCAGTTGTATTGAACTTATTTTTCTAAGATGTTTTCATTGAAGACATTGGGTAAAGAACATATAGCATATATGTATCATTTCCTACAACTGCATGTTAATCTATAATATTCTCACAATTTAAAAAAATGTTTAATTGCATTATTCCTAATACTGCCAAACTGGAAGTAACTCAAATGTCCATCAACTGGTAAATGAATACAATATAGGATATTTAACCAATGCAAAATCATTCAGAAGGGAAAGGCAGCAAAACATTAATAAATGCAACATGATGAATCTCAAAAACATTATGCTAAGTGAACACCAAAGATTAGATGTTGTATAACTCCATTTACATAAAATGTAGTAACAAAGTAAATCAGTAATTTCCTGGAGGTGGGATTATGGGGAAAGGATCAAGTACAAAAGGGCAGGAGAAAACATTTTAGCATGAGAAAGTAGTCTTTCAGTCATTTGATCATGGTGGTGGTTAAGTGATTACATATGATTACCAAAATTCACACTGTACACATAAGCACCCGTAAATTTCATAATATTTGTTATATCTTAAAATACAAAAGACAGGAAACATTAAAGTTTAGAAAATTAATACCTGTAAGTGTTTTTCCTGCATTCAGAGGAGGAGCAATTACTTTGAAAAGTTTCTGCATTAAAATTAAAAGGAAAACAATCACCATATTTTCAAGAGATATTTTTAAAAACATAATCAAACTTTGTATGCTATTAATAACACTTCTCTGATGGAACCAGTTGTTTGCTGTTGAGACTAAACATAAAGGCTAAGGTATATATGAATTGTTTATAACCATCACTAAGAAACAATTGTCATATTCCTCACAGAAAGAAACCATTTAATAAATACCAATTACATGAAAGTCTATGTTGAACATACAGTTTTTAATAAAATATATCCCTAGATTCTTAAAATAACTTTATTCTTTAAAAGACAGTAAGCAAATGAAGGGAGTGTCATCTTACCAAAGTGATTACTTTAAACTGAAAATATTTAAATAATCAGCAGCCACAGAAAGAAACAATAAGCAGAAACTTCCCAAAATACAGCTCCCATGGCCCTCCCTCAAAGGGAGGTTCCCACGAGGCAGGTTCCTATTTGGAAGACCCTTAGCAAGTACACATTCACCTGCTGGTTAGCATCATAAAGCCCAACAGAACTAACCCTGCCCCCACCTTCATCTCTGACTGTTCAGCTATTCATAATGAATCTCCAGTCAACCTACACAGGACTGTTTAACTTGCAGTCCCCATCTCCCCTAGCTTACCCCCAACACTGGGACCTAAGTTGCAAAAGGAAAAGTTTTTCTTCCCAACATAAGGCACTGTTTTTAAAATTAAGGAAAGGTTTCAGAAGCTATGGTAGTCATCTCAAATGTGATGACACTGTCTTTCATTCTGGAAAATCTAGAACATTTCAAAGGACAAGATATCTCTTCTTAATTCAGATCTCTTTTAAGTATTAAAACAGCTAAATGTTACATTAAAAAGTGATTTCCTTAAACACAGAGAATTATAAAGGAGGAATCACAGGATACACCTCACCTCCCACTGCTTAAGTCTACAAATGACCATTTAATAACACACCAAGCTCCTGCTGAAAACCATTAAACTCAAAGACTACTCTGAACATACACAGGACAACCTCAATAACCCAAAGCTCCTCTTGATATGTTTAAGTACTTGCATAAATGTACCTAGATTGTGAGGAAAAAAAAAAAAAAACAGATTGAAGAAAAAGAAAAACCAAACCCAGATTGAGGGGAGGAAAAAAAAATGTAAAACAAATATTTCCAAAAAAAATTACAATACAGCAGCAACATAGGATGCTTCAAATTAAAATCTGTTTTGGGGGCTGGTGCTGTGGCGCAGTGGGTTAACGATCTGGCCTGAAGTGCCAGCATCCCATATGGACACTGGTTCAAGACCTGGCTGCTCCACTTCTGATCCAGCTCTCTGCTGTGGCCTGGGAAAGCAGCAGAAGATGGCCCAAGTCCTTGGGCCCCTGCACCCGAGTGGGAAACCCAGAAGAAGCTCCTGGCTCCTGGCTTCAGATCAGCACAGTTCCGGCCGTTGTGGCCAACTGGGGAGTGAACCAGCAGATAGAAATCTCTCTCTGTCTCTCTGCCTCTCCTCTCTGTGCATCTCTTTCAAATAAATAAATAAATCTTTAAAAAAAATCTGTTTTGAAGGAAATGAGAAACCGCCTTAAATCTTCCTGACTGTGGGTTAGGGCAGCACAGAGAATAATTTTTGCATGCAGATGAGAAGGCAGCTATAAGGTGATCAAGGCCAAACAATTCTGACTTGACATACATACTATCAGAGTCTAAACCTGAGGAGAAGGGGCACACACTCATTGTAGAAACTGATCAACAGAAGTGGCTGGCTTTGTGGCACAGCAGGTTAAACTGCTGCCTACAACACCAGCATCCCCTATTAGCACTGGTTCGAGTCCCAGCTCCTCCACTTCCAAACCAGTGGATGGAAGATCTGTCTCTCCTTCACTCTCTCTCTCTGTAACTCTGGCTTTCAAATAAATAAATAATTCAATGAATCTTTAAAAGAGAGAGAGAGGGAGGTAGAGAGACTGACTATTATTGATGCCAGGGTCCTAGTCCAAGGTAGCGCAGACTTCAGCTGAATCTTGTTCCATCTCCACTTCTGTCTATGCCTTCCAGCCAAAGACCCCCAGGAACTCACTGTAGCTGGAAAAGTGTGGTTTGTGTCTCATTGGAGCAAGAGATTATGCACATCACAGGGGAACCACTAACACAGCTCCATAGGAAGGCTTTGGAAAGAATTTGTTGTGGGATTAGAGCTCCTGTTAGATTCAAGGCAAGAGTTCAGGAAAATGGGGCTTTGCTGAGGTGGGAATTCACGCTGTTCCCCTCTGCTGATGTCATCCTCATAGCAGAGCACTGTAATGTCTGAAGTCAAGGTGCCTGTGCACAGTGCTGAGGCAGAAAACAGAGGCATCCCAGGGCAGCAGGAGTTCAAGTTCGTTAACTCACTGGTGGCCGTAGGCCTTCCCTCCAGGTTTTGCCTCTTTCTCCCAGCCCTGAAGAGGCCCTGTATTTTATATAAAATAAATTTCTTATGCCCTTTGTCAAAGTTACTATAGTATTCTTAGGAGAAAAAAAACTTAAAGTCTCACAGACAAGCATTACTTTTATCTATTGTTCCCTGAGATTTAAATAGCTACTTAGGCACATAAAAAGGAAAGCAGTGGCAGAAAGTATAAAATTAATGACTAGTTAAAAGTCCAGAGTTAAAAAGGGTACACAACTAATAAATCTAGAAGAGATTAAAGAAGATTGGATGAAGACAAAAACTGTTCAAAGCAAAAAGAGATTGGGGAAAAGTTAACAGATAAAATTAAACACATGTCTGAGTGAGGAACTAGCTTACCTCCATTGGACTAATAAATTCGTTCATGCCTCTGTTGTAGACATAGATCATAGCATCATACAGGCGATTTTCCCAACACATGAGAACCACCTATAAAAAGGAAAAGTTGTTCGATCCACACTGTTCAGTACATCTCAGCAATGATTTTCCCTGGAGCTTTAAGAATTGAAAAAGATCTCGAATTCTTATCTTTTTCTTATTCCTTCACTAATAAAAAAAACCTGGAACTGCAGTGTTTCAACACAATGCCAGGATAAGAGCTGTTTGAGTTCAATATTACTTCTAATAGCACTACATACAGTACAATAGTTACTTCTGACATCCTCCAGTGTCTTAACTGTTTTTTCTTTATCATCCCCTTTACCATTTTCGCTTTACTTTTGTCAACAGTTCTGCAAATATTTACTGAACATCCATAATCAGGCTCTCTCCTAGGCCAGAGGATCAAGTAAAGAATAAGACAAATCCAGACCTACTCCCTGCTCTTACAGAATTTACATTCATCTTGGACACTCACCAAAAGCAGGGTAAGGCACACAATAGTATATGAGTTAAGGGGGGAAGGGAGGGAGATATCCAATTACACAAATAGCTCATTATTTACAAATGTGGTAAGCATTATAAAGGAACCTGACTCAGCCTGGAGTATTCAAAAAAATCATCCCTGAGGGAGCAAGCACTAAGCTGGAGCTAAAGGATACATGCATGTAAGCCAAAGGCAGAAGCATAAACCAGGGATTCTGCGGGCAGAAACAGTAAAAATGAAGGGACTCGAAGTGTTTAAGGATGGAGAGAGATCAATTTGAGGAGATATTTAAGAACAGGAATAGATATGACTTAGAGTACAGAGTATTCTACCTCTGTTCCTATGATAGCTACAGAGTGATAAGGGAGCTGAAGTAGAGATATGCTAAGGAGAACAAAGAGTAGGCAAAGAGGTAAGAGCAAAAATGGAAATGAGGAGACTCCAGGAGTCTTCCTGGAAGAAGGCAGGCTCTAGAACCTGCCTCCTTGTTCTCTCTCTTTCTCTGTTATTGCCATCAGTATGTATCTCTTCACTAATGACTAACACATTTACAACTTCCCTCTGATCCATATACCAACCATTTCCTTGATATCTTCACCTGAATGTCTACGGCTACCTCAAAATGAAATAGCAAAACAGAACTCTTCATTTTGTTGCTCAAGCTTAGACTTGCCCTCGTCATCCAATCTTCTTACAGGAATCACTATCCAGCCTGCTTCTCAAGTAAAAAACTAGGCATTATCCTTCAAGTCTCTCTTTGTAACACTCATCACATCCAATTTATCAGCAAATCAATTCTACTCCCCTTCATCCAAAACCAGGCTAATTCTATCTCACTGCTAGTACTTCTGGACAGGATCAGGTTCCCTTTCCTCACTGGGTTACTGATAAAGCAAACCAAAGCCTTCTTGCTGAAAACTTTCTAATCATTTTTCATAGCATTTATTATAAAATGGAAACCCTTGGTTTACTTCTTTCATTAAGCTCCAGATCTGCCTGCTTCTTTGCTGTTACTTGAACACTGAAGGTATAATCCTTTTTTCAGGTATACTATTGCTTTTACCCATACAATCTTCCCTTCCAAGATCTTTGCCTTACTAATTCTCTTTGTTATTCAGGCTCCAAGGCTCACTTTCCTTCCTCACAGATGCTTTCCATACTTAGTCAACATAATGGCCTCCTACCATATTACCTTGTTTGGTTTGGGCAAAATACTTCTTTACACTAAAAATTTTATTTACGGTTTATTTGTTTATCCATTTACTGTCAAACTTTACTGCTAAACTTTAAGCTTTATGAGAGGATAAGCCTCGTTCATCAGTCACTGAAGCACACCCAGAGCCTGGCACTTAACAAATGCTTCTGGAAGCAATGAACAAACAGTGCTGAAAGAGTAAGTAAAATAAGAGTTGAAAAATATCACTTGAAGCCGGCGCCGCGGCTCAATAGGCTAATCCTCTGCCTAGTGGCGCTGGCACACCAGGTTCTAGTCCCAGTCGGGGCACCAGATTCTGTCCCGGTTGCCCCTCTTCCAGGCCAGCTCTCTGCTGTGGCCTGGGAGTGCAGTGGAGGATGGCCCAAGTACTTGGGCTTTGCACCCCATGGGAGACCAGGATAAGTACCTGGCTCCTGCCTTCAGATCAGCGCAACGCGCCAGCCACGGCGGCCATTGGAGGGTGAACCAATGGCAAAGGAAGACCTTTCTCTCTGTGTCTCTCACTGTCCACTCTGTCAAAAAAAAAAAAAAAAAAAAAAAAAAGGAAAGCCTGAAAAAAATGGGATCTTGTTTTACTTTGCAAACTCATAGCCATTTATTAAGAGCTTCCCAAAAGAAAAACAATAATCATTTTTTTCAAACCCTTCATTTCTATGCAATTTTGTGCACTGTAAAACAACAACAAAAAAGTTTTGGTCTTTCTAAGTTTAGATCAAGAGGATCTATCAGCCTTTCAGGAGTAACATACTCATTATTTCTATTTCTTTCTTTCTTTTTTTTTTTTTTTTTTTTTTTTTTGACAGGCAGGGTGGACAGTGAGAGAGAGAGACAGAGAGAAAGGTCTTCCTTTGCTGTTGGTTCACTCTCCAATGGCCGCCGCGGCTGGCGCACTGCAGCCGGCGCACCGAGCTGATCCGATGGCAGGAGCCAGGTGCTTATCCTGGTCTCCCATGGGGTGCAGGGCCCAAGCACTTGGGCCATCCTCCACTGCACTCCCTGGCCACAGCAGAGAGCTAGCCTGTAAGAGGGGCAACCGGGACAGAATCCGGCGCCTCCTCCACTACACTCCCTGGCCACAGCAGAGAGCTGGCCTGGAAGAGGGGCAACCGGGACAGAATCCGGCGCCCCGACCGGGACTAGAACCTGGTGTGCCAGCGACGCTAGGCGGAGGATTAGCCTAGTGAGCCACGGCGCCGGCCTCATTATTAAGACTAATGTGAAATTAAAGAATTAAACTGTAGGGGCCAGTGGTGTAACGTAGCAGGTAAAGCTGTCACCTGCAGTGCCGGCATCCCATCTGTGTACTGGTTCAAATCTTGGCTGCTCCTCTTCCAACCAACTCTCTACTATGGCCTGGGAAAGCAGTAGAAGATGGCCCAAATGCTTGGGCTGCTGCACCTGCATGGGAGACCCAGAAGAAGCTCCTGGCTTCAGATCAGTTCAGCTCTGGACATTGAGGCCATTTGGGGAGTAAAGCAGCAGATGGAAGACCTACCTCTCTCCCTTTCTCCCTCCTTCACTCCCTCTCCCTCTCTCTTTCAAATAAATAAATAAATCTTAAAAAAAAAAGAATTAAACTGTAAAATGTCTTATGGCAGAATAGAAACTGATTCTCAATTAAGTATATCTGAAGACCTCAGATACACTGAAAAAGTACTATTTTCAAATAACAGGCAAGCTACTCATGCTAAGAATCTGAATTTCAAAACTCAAGTCTGACCTTAACCCATTATAAACTACTGTCCTATATACAGGACATCTATAAAGACTTAATAAATTGAGTAATATATATACTGCTTTGTTAACTTTGAAATAAATACTATATCACTGAAATACAGAATTGAAAACTTAGGACTTAATGAGTTAATATAGTAGCTCTTTTAAAAATGGCATCATGGGCCAAATGTTGTGGCACAGTGGGAAAAGCTGCTGCCTACCATGCCAGCATCCTTTATGGGTATTGGTTCACGTCCCAGCTATTCCACTTCTGATCCACCTCCCTGTTAATGGCCTGGCAAAACCAATGGAAAGATGGCTCATGTGTCTAGTCACCTGCCACCCATGTGGGAGACTTGGATGAAGCTCTCAGCTCCTGACTTCAGCCTGGCCCAGCAGTGGCCATGGTGGCCATGTTGGGAGTGAACCAGCAGGTGGAAGATCTCTCTTTCTCTTTCTCTCTCTCTCTGTTTCTCCCTCTCTCTCTTTAATTCTTTCTTTCAAAATAAATATCTTTAAAAACCGGCATCATACTCTTAAAGATATAAATATTCTGTCATTCCTGTGAGAGCACCCATAGTTGAAATATACCTGATGGATGAACTCTGTGAGTGAACAAACAAACCAATGAAGAAGAATCAGTCAATAAGTATCTACCGAGCAACTACTAAATGTTAGCCCTAGACAGTGCTTTGGCACAGCAGGTAAAGCCTCTGCCTGCAGTGCTGGTATCGCATATGGGTGCCAGTTCAAGTCCTGGCTGCTCCAGCTCTCTGTTATGCCCTGGGAAAGCAGTGGAACATAGTCCAAGTGATTGGGCCCCTGCATTTGTATGGGAGACCTGGAAGAAGCTCCAGGCTCCTGGCTTCAGAATGGCCCAACTCCAGCCATTGAGGCCATTTGGGGAGTGAACCAGTGAATGGAAGACCTCTCTCTTTCTCTCTCTCTCTCACTGCCTCTGTCTCTGTAGCTCTGGGTTTCTAACTAATCAATCAATCGATAAATTTTTAGGCCTATGCTAAGAACTTTAGGAGGTGTCAAAGATATAGAACACATAATCTTTGGCTTGAAAGCACGTAAGTATGGTCCTAAGAACTACATAGACAAGTGGAAGTTTATCAGACTTCTCATAAAAAGTGTTTAATATGTAAGTGGGGTTTTTAGAAGACAGGGAGGCCTGATCAGGTGGGTAAATACAATCAATAAAGGAATGATGTTTCTTCTGTAAATGAGCAAACTGTCTATGCACTCACCTGCTGAATGTCTAGGCTGGTAACATCCATGTGTACAATGAGCGCTTCCACATTTTCCATTAACTTTTTATCTTGGAAATGAACAAGCAAGTCTTTCATTACCTGGGGTGTGATCCCCACCAATTTATCACTCAAAATATATGGCTCAAGACACTCCAAAAACACTCCTTTGGCCACTGAATTCTCACTTAATTTGTCATACATCTGGCCAAATAAAAGATCCCTAAAACAGAAAGGGGAAAAATGCTTTTAGGAACATTCCAAACATCCATTACATTTAATATGCTAAGGTTATCTCACATTTCTCCCTGTTTCAATTAATGCATGAGCTTAATTTAAAACAATAACAATATTTGCATAGGACATTCTACATCAGAAACCTTTTTAGTATTATATTCCCTCAGTTAGTCACCTCAATACTTCATTTACAAACAAGAAAGTTGAAAACATTAGCTTATTTGCTGCAAGGCTCATCTACTAACAAGTAACAGGGTCAGAATTGGAACCCAGCTTTCTGGTCTAAATCCTGTGCTCAGTCTCTGTGGCGAACTGCTTCCTGAAAGTAATAGTGCTAAGCAGGAACAATGAGTACTGACGGGAAAAGAAAGAAAAAAGCTCAATATTTAAAATACATCCCTAGAAGCACTTTTATTGCAGAAAGAATTTTTAAAAATTTGTTTATTTAAGAGGCATTTACAGACAGAGAGAAACAGAGGCAGAGAGAAGTCTTCCATCTGCTGGTTCATTCCCCAAATGGCTGCAATGGCCAGGGCTAGGCCAGACTGAAGTTAGGAGCCAGGAGCTTCCTCTGGGTTTCCCACATGGGTGCAGAGGCCCAAGCAGTTGGGCCATCTTCTACTGCTTTCCCAGGTACATTAGAAGGGAGCTGGGTCAGAGGTGCAGCAGGCCAGAACTTGAACTGGCAGCTATATGGGATACCAGCGCCGCAGGCAGCAGCTTTACCAGCTAAGCCACAGCACCAGCCCCCAAGAAGCAAATTAAAAAAAAAAAAAAAATTACTATAAACACTACCACTCTAAGCAACTGTTTTATTTCACATTTCTGTAAATGGTCCATAAAATTTAAGTCATAATCAACACAGGCATAATTCTAAATTCTGTTTTCATGCAACATTATATGATAAACATTACTGTAAATTACTACCTATTAAACATTTTGTTGGGGGTTGACATTGTGGCACAGAGAGTTAAGCCGCCACCTGTGGTGCCAGCATCCTATATAAGTGCTGGTTCTGAGTCCCAGCTGTTCTACTTCCCATTCAGCTCCCTGCTAATGTGCCTGGGAATGCAGAGAGGATGGCCTAGGTTCTCAGGCCCCTGCAACCCATGTGAGAGATCTGGAAGAAGCTCCTGGCTCCTGGCTTTGGCCTGGCCCAGTCTCAGCCATTGTGATCATTTGGAGAGTGAACCAGCAGATGGAAGATCTCTCTCTCCCACCCTTCCCCCTTTCTCTGTAACTCTGCCTTCCAAATACATAAAATAAACCTTTAAAAACAAAACATTTTGTCTCACTACGCTTCTATACCCTGCAATATCTGCATCACAGCACCAACAGACACTACCACCAGCAGTGATAAGCATACCAGTTTCTTTTTTTTTAAAGAATTACTTTATTTATTTGAAAGACAGAGTTACAGAGAGAAGTAGAGCCAGAGAGAGAGAGAGAGAGAGAGAGAAGTCTTCCATTCCGTTGGTTCACTCCCCAAATGACCACAATGGCCAGAGCAGAGCTGATCCAAAGCCAGGAGCCAGAAGCCTCCTCCGGGTCTCCTACGTGGGTGCAGGGACCCAAGGACTTATGCCATCCTCCACTGCTTTCCCAGGCCACAGCAGAGAGCTGGATCAAAAGTGGAGCAGCCGGGACCCCGGTGCGCATATGGGAAGCCGGTGTTGCAGGCCAGGGCTTTAACCCACTGTGCCAAAGCACAGGCCCCAATCATACCAATTTGACCAGATAACCATGAGGGATTTTTTTCCCCTGACAATGTAATAAATGCAAAATTAAATAACATTATTGTTTTTGTTCTTTGGTGACTGGCAAAACTGGATCTTTTCCACTTTTCCATCTGTAACTTACACTGCCTTGTATAATTCATTTATTCTTTCATTCCATTTTTTAAAAATACAAAAACTGCTAATTCTATTACCTGTTAGGATTTCTTTTCCCCTAAATATTTAATTTTCTTATGTGTGTAGCATGTCAACTGTGGAAAGCGGCAGTGGCTTGTTTATCCACAGATAGTTTTTTGTTGTTGTTGTTGTTTTTTGTTTTTGTTTTTTTTTTTTCATGACAAGTGCCACAAAAAGGTGAAGGAAGCTCTGGAAAGGAATGGGCTGGGCTTGGGCCTCAGGGGAAGTCTGGAAGCGACAGGTGGTGATCAGCCTACCTACAACTGCACTGGAAGCATCTGCCACTTCCCAACAAACAGCATTTGCAGTAGCCTGGGGGAAATCTATATCCATTTCTTTTCAAATGCACAATGGTAATTTTTATATCATTTTCCTCCTCTACTGCACATGGCATTGATTATAGTATTTTTCATGCTGGTTTCATTTTAATCAATAGTTCATCACATTTTTGTGATTATCAATTACTAGCCAAGCAAAAGACACTGAGATTAACTTTTATTGCAAGAGAGAAAAAGTAAGAGTAGCAAAACAACTCTACTGAATTCAAGGAAAATGTCACATTGGCTAACCCTTCTACTCAGTAATGTGTCGAGAAAAACAACATGCTAAGGGAAACAGTAATAAATTTTTAGTACCAAGTCTTGGGGAGGAGAATTAAAGAGAGTTCAAAATTCAGTAAACAGAGCACAAAAAATGACAAAGAAGGTAGCCTTACGACAAAAAGCAGCAGGCTATGTTGTAAGATGAATAGCAAAATGATCCATTTCTCTCTTAATCAGTGTGAGACTATAATAAAGCAGCAAGAAAAATAAAGCTCAGCGCCTCTTATCTGCATCTCTCCCTTCAAAGAAAAAATAAAACAAAATTCTAACATGTATTCTCATCATTCTGGGAGAATATTTATCACAGCAGCAGGAGCGGGGGTAGAAAGGAAAGCACACACCAAAAGCTACGTTCTTAGCTCTCACGTGTTTCCCTCTATCTTCAGGCATTACTCTTCGGGTGCTGATGTCCTTTCCTAGGAAGGCTGCGGCACTGTTTACCATTTCCAGCTTAGACCTCCTATGCTATGGCTGGTGCAACTGAAAATCCATCAACAACAGAGGGACAGCAGAGAGATCTTTCCAAAAAATGTCACCTTATATTAATACTTTCACTAAAGGTAGTTTTGGAGTTTATCATTTATAACTTCAAATATAGAAAAACGGCTAACTTCATTTTGTACAATATCAACTTCTTTTTTTAATGTACAGGGTTGCTTTCATTATAATAGAAACAGAAATTCAGAGAATGTTTGAAGGAGTTAACTGGCTCATCTATGCTAAATACATAACCAGGGCCAAATAACCACATTCCCAATAAGCCTAAACGGGATTTAGTAAATCCAAAGTCTATTTGGGCTAGTCTTCTTACTTATAAAGGTAAAAGCAAAACTCAAATAACTTTAGGAAATTATTTTCAAAATGTTGTGGTTTCTGTTGCAAGTATCACAGTTTGTAAAGAATTCCTTTCAAAAGGTCTGACTTAACTGTGGTGATGGTTGTTAAACTCTGAATGCACTAAAACTACTGAACCATACATTGGGATGGGTGAAGTTTATAGAATTTAATTATATCTTTTTTTTTTTTTTTTTGACAGGCAGAGTGGACAGTGAGAGAGAGAGACAGAGAGAAAGGTCTTCCTTTGCCGTTGGTTCACCCTCCAACGGCCGCCGCAGCCAGCGCGCTGCGGCCGGCGCACCGCGCTGATCCAATGGCAGGAGCCAGGTACTTATCCTGGTCTCCCATGGGGTGCAGGGCCCAAGCACTTGGGCCATCCTCCACTGCACTCCCTGGCCACAGCAGAGAGCTGGCCTGGAAGAGGGGCAACCGGGACAGAATCCGGCGCCCTGACCGGGACTAGAACCTGGTGTGCCGGCGCTGCAAGGCGGAGGATTAGCCTAGTGAGCCGCAGCGCCGGCCGGAATTTAATTATATCTTAATATAGCTGTTATAAAGCTTAAAAACACACAGTGCCTTTCCCTCCTAGCTTTGTAGTTACGGAGAGAATGGTTAACCAAAACATCCCATTCTTGCACATTCTTTGTAACTGACCTTTCTGCTTTTCAAATAACAATTCTGATGTTGAACAACACAATGGAAAATATACCCTGGATATCAAAAGATGACTTCAGGCTCATTTTCTATTAACTAGAAATATTTTTAGTTGAAATTCATATATGACTCAGGTAATCTGAAAGATGGCATCTTAACAGTTTTAGATATTGCTTACAGTGATATAAACTTAAGGTGGTATTATCTACAGAGAGTATCAGTTTTGCTTTGTTTTATAACTGCTTTATAGAGAAATAATTTATAAATAATAATAATATAAGCATATATTTTAAAACAATATTCCAAACTATGATTATAGTTCACATAAACCCTGGATCTACTTTCAAAATAAAACTGGCATTATGGCTTCCATAGAATCAGATACAAGTTGAACATCTGTTATCCAAAATAATACCAGAAGAATTTTGAAATTTTTAGATTTTGTAATATTTGCATATACAGAATGAGATATTTTGGGAACAGAACCCAAGTCTAAATACAAAACTCATTTGTGTTTCATACAGACTTTCTACATACAGCCTGAAAGGTAAATTTATACCATATTTTTATACCATATTTTCCCTGCTAATGCACCTGGGAAAGCAGGAGAACAGCCCAAGTGCTTAGGCCCCTGTTACCCAGGTAGGAGACCTGGAAGAAGCTCCTGGCTTCAGCTTGGCCCAGCCCGTGCCGTTGCAGCCATATGGGGAGTGAACCAGCAGGTTCTCTCTCTCTATATATATAATTCTTTCAATAGATAAATAAATCTTTTAAAAAAATCGGATTTTGGATTTCAGATTTTCAGATTAGGGATTTCACCTTTTATCTAAGACTAGAAAAAAGATATACAACCAAACTGAACCAAAATTGTGAAAGAGAACAAATTATAAAAGTAAAATATAAATCATCAAAAACAGAATTCCTATAATATCTGATTCTAAGTAAATTATGAAAACACTCTAAAGCCAAAATTTAACTAAAAAAAAGATGTCTATAACACATTAATAAGTATGCTCTACAGAGAAGAAAAATTTCGTGCCTGCCATAGTAAAAAGTTTTTTGCAATATACAAGGGCACTTTAAAAAAGCTCATGAAAAATGGGATTAAATGATCAATTTATTTTGGTGCAAAAAAATCTGGGGTAAGTGTTGTGGCACAGCAGGTTAAGCCACTGCTTGGGATGCCTGCATCCCAGATCGAACAAGTCCTAGCTATTTCTCTTCTGATCCAGCTTTCTGCTAATGCACCTGGGAAGGCAGCAGAAAATGGTTTAAGCACTTAGGTCCCTGCTACCTAATGGGAGATCTGAATTGCATTTCTGGCTGCTGGCTTTAGCCTGGCCAGCCCCAGCTGTTGCAGGCATTTGGGAAGTAAACCAGCAGACTGAAGATATCTGCCTCTCCCTCTCACTCTCTTCAAATAAAATAAATAAATCTTTAAAAAAGGAAAATATGCATAAATTTAAAGATTTCTTGCAATCAAAATAAATACTTTTAATTCTATTTTCCATGAACTTACACTAGTTCATTAATATTACTGCTGAGGCCAGCACCATGGCACAAGTTAATCCTCCATCTGCGGCACCAGTATCCCATATGGGCATTGGTTCTAGTCCTGGCTGCTCCTCTTCCAATACAGCTCTCTGCTGTGGCCTGGAAAAGCAGTAGAAAATGACCCAAGTCCTTGGGCCCCTACACCCATGTGGGAGACTAGGAAGAAGGACCTAGCTCTTGGCTTCAGATCTGCGCAGCTCCAGCCATTGCGGCCATTTGGAGAGTGAACCAATGGAAGGAAGACCTTTCTCTCTATCTCTCACTCTCATTGTCAGTAACCCTACTCTCAAAATAAGTAAAATCTTTTTAAAAAATTAATAGTATTGCTAAATGTGAGGTTCTATGAATTATGCTATGATATAACAATGATTACAGTGTAGTAACTGTTGTGATATTGAGGTAAAATTAACTTCAGGGTATGTATTACATATATAATTTGATTCACTGAAGAAACAGAATAATATATGACAATAAAAACAATGTAGCCAATTAAAAGATATAAATATGTAAGAGGTTCCTAGCAGCCAGGACTGAGTAGGTGATGCTTCTAGAAGTGGAAGAAGTTATCAGAAATAGGCCAAGTACTACCTCATGTTTTCTGTAAGACTGTATTTGCAGTTTGCACAATCTGAATACTTAAGGCAATGTTAATATAACACACTCTGCAAACCAAGGAATGTAGAAGACTCTACACACAAATGGAACCAAATGACAGAGAAGATGATACAAAGGGAGTGTCTGGTTGAAGGAGAAACATACCATACTAAAAAGAAGCTTCATACATTTGACAATCCTTGGCTTCATTGTAGCCTAAGGAATTGAATGTTTTTAACCTCATAATCCATGGTAACTCTAGGAAAAAAAGTGTAAAAACTCTACCACCTAAGAGTAATTACACTGGTCTATTTAACTAGAATTTTTAGATCTAATAAATTTTTAATCACTGCATGTTTGAAATGGAAGAGAACTAAAAGGTGGCTTAGACACAAACAATCAACATCGATCCAATGGTTTATTCTATCCATTTCTCCCTAAGCTCAGGCCCATATTTAGGATCCTAACACTCTGATGAACAACAAATGCCAGTATGGTGAGAAGCAAGCAATCAAGGAACACGAATCTAGAAAGGGAGGGAACACCTGGCCCAATTTCTTGTTTACAGACACAATGTCCTTGTTCTGCTGGGAATTCTATCCTGTCCCTCTGTCCTTACTGAAACAGAGTAAGAGAAGTAAACAGATTAGGAGGGACAGGAAGAAAGGATACGCATTCTGGACTTCTCCCAAGCAGAAGCAGGATCTAGCACAATTCAGTCTTCAGCCTTTGGAAACAGAACTGAGAGAAGAAGCCACTGATTTGTACTATGGTCCAGGAAAAAAGTGCATGCCTTTGATCTTCATTTTATGAATGTTAGGGCCTTTTGACTCTTATGGTTTTGTGAGAGTATTTAAGAATTCAAGATAGGTGCCAGTGTTGAGGCACAATGGGTAAAGCCATTGCCTGCAATACACAGCATCCCATGTGAGTGCAGGTTCATGTCCTGGCTGCCAGTTTCCAATCCAGCTCCCTGCTAATGGCCCAGGAAAAGCAGCAGAAGACGGCCTAAGTGTTTGAGCCCTTGCCACCCATATGGGAGACACCGATAAAACTTCTGGCTTCTGACTTTGTCCTGGCCCTGTTGTGCCTGTTGTGGCCATCTGAGGAGTGAACTAGTGGATGGAAGATCTCTCTCTTTCTCTCTCTCTCTTTCTCTCTATAACTCTTCAAAATAAATACACAAATCTTAAAAAAAAAAAAAATTTCAAGATAATGATCACAAGTCACCCTGCAAAAAGGGTGGCAGAATTATTTCACTAATTCAGCCATCAGGTATTGAATAGTCAATTTGTACCAGGTACAACTATAGGTAGAAATAATCCATTTTATAAACATATGCCTTCTTACTCTAAATTTTGTCTCTTAGGTACTTCACTTCCTCTCATTTATAAATATGTCAACCTGAAGACTTCAGTTGATGCCAGTACTTATTGGTATTAAGATACTCTACACCTCCATTTCTTCATCAGGAAATAAGGATAACATTACTCTCTTACAATGTAATTATGAAGATTAAATAAAATAAAAATATATAACTGATCCATAAGCTATTAAAGATGCTTAAAAAAATACAAGATATGAGTGGGCATTGTAGGGAAGTGGATTAAGCCACTGAATGAAATGCCCAGATACCATACTGGAATGCTGGGTAAAGTCCTGGCTCCTCTGAGTGATCCAGCTTCCTACTAACGCACTTGGGAGGCAGCAGAAAATGACCCAAGTACTTGTATTCCTGCCACCCTCGTGGGAAACCGAGAGGAGTTCCTGGCTCTAATTGTTGCAGGCATTTAGGGAGTAAACCAGTGGATGGAAGATCTCTCAATCTTCCTCCCTCCCCGCTATTTGTGGTTCTGCTTTTCAGGTAGATGAAAATTAATAAACTAATAAATAAAAAGAATTTTTTTAAAAAGAGAAAAATACAAGATAAACAATGAGGAAATGAGTGTGAATGTGGGCTAAAGAGAAAACTAGGAAAAGACAGGGCAGGGTTAGTCCATGTTTCATGGTGCTTTGCTTCCTAGTAAACAATAATTAGCTACACAATCCCCTGTCCAGCAGCTACAGGTACATGGCTATTCAGAAGATGCAAAGGTAACACCTGAAAGAAAATTCTCCCTTATGCCCCCATGAAGAAAACAATGTGTAATAGAAAGTAATGCTTTATATTACAACATCCCTACTGTGAACACAATGTATTTCACTACAGCTAAAACACTGGAAGAAAGCTGAGCCTCAAGGAAGCAGGCGCCATAGCTACCTATGACTTTTATCAAGAGCCTGGCATAGCAACTAACTGCCCTCTTTGATAACCTTCACTGATACTTCCAAAGGATGACCTAATCTTTTATGAATCAGGCTACTGGAACATATATTCGTGAGTCCAGAAAGTGTTGTACAGTTTAAGTAGTATCTGAATTAGGCCCTTCCATCATTCTCTATCACTTAGAAAGCGGTACAAATGTCTGGGCAAGACAGAACACAGAAGCTAGACTCCAGGGTAGGGAGGGGGTGAGGGGGGGCAGCACTGTGGCACAGCTGGTTAAAGCCCTGGCCTGAAGCACTAGCATCCCTTATGGGCACAGGTTCTATTCCTGGCTGCTCCTCTTCTACTTCGGATCGGCTCAGCTCCGGCAGTTGCGGCCATCTGGGGAGTGAACCAGCGGATGGAAGACCTCTACCTCTCACTGTAACTCTTTCAAATAAATAAAACAAATCTTTAAAAAAAAAAAGACTCCTATATATGAATCCCACTTTTGCCACCCCCCACAAAAGCTGTGGGAGTGACTTATGGCAAGTCAATAACTTTCTGCCCCTGGAATATCCTATATAAAATGAAGAAAATAATACCTCATTGCTATAAAAATCAGATGCTTCTATAAAATTATATAAATTAAGCATAAAGGGCTTAGCACAATGTCTGGCTATCATTGTAAGTATGAAAAATTGTGAATTAGCACATGCTGGTTAATTTATATAGTTACTACATAAAATGCTACCAACAAAGCATAATCAAGAGTTTATTTACACTGACTTATTTTAAACAAACAAAAAAAACTCTAAAATGATCAATACTGGATTAGTGCAATGAATATAGTCCTTTATGAGGGGTATGACATAATGTGTTTCAGAGATGGTTCATGAAAAAGCATATACACAAAATTAAAATGAAGAGTATATGAGGGAACAGTTCATAGAAAAGAGAACTGAAAGATAATTTTGATGCAAAAATTTTGAAACTCATGCAGGTTTTTTATAATGTACATCTCCATGAGCTTCTTAAAGACCTCTCATCTGTACTGAACACAAATCACACAGCTTCTGTTTTATTTAATTATAAAACAAGAACAGAGTTCATGTATTTCATATAAATAATTTTAAGCACATAATGATACTTCCCACCACCCTCCCTCTTCCTTCCTTCTTTTTTTCTTCTCATTTTTGTAATGACATACTTACAATTTACTTTATAATCACAGGCTTAATCTTCCACTAAATAAAGAATTCAATAAGTAGGAAGTAGAAAGACCACTGATCTGCAGGAGTATAGACAAGGACTATGAACAGTATTGCTCTGTACCTCTGCTATCCTGCCACACTAACACATGGATGAGATGAGTACACCTATGGCAACTGTTTTGGGGAAGTTCATTTGATTAGATAAATGTACTAAAAATGTTACAGAATCAAGTTTCTCTAAACTGATTTTTTTCAAAAAGCTTATCCTGTCAAATTCACAGAGTTGATAAGCAGTACATGATACACAAACAAGAGACTTCCTGGGTTCACCATAATTGAGTCTGACAGGCAATGCATACTCACTTTCGTTGCAGCAGAAGGCAGTAATCAACTATGACAGGTACCATATCCTGCAGGGGAACACAAAGAAAGCATTAGACCCACACCCCTGTCCAACGGTCCACTGATAATGAAAGAGTTCTGCTTCAGATGATGTTAAAATTGTTGGCAGGATATTGGGCTGTACAGTGCTTTTGGTAAGCAACTTGGCACTACCTATCAAAAGTCTTAAAAATATGGAAACAGTTTGACTTGGCAATTCTATTTCTAGAAATTTATCCTAAAAGCATTTAGGAAAAAAGTATTTTGAATGCATTAAGATATTCACTGTAGCTTTGTAAGAGAAGAAGCAAGAAGACAAAGAGGAAGCAGGGAAAGAGAAATTTTGAAGAAATTTGAATTAAATTTATATACAACATGGGAAAATAATTCAGTGAAGTTTTCTATTTAAATAAAACATTATGTATCTACCACAAATTTCAAAGAGTTTTCAATATCATTAAAACAAACACTAGGCAAAAATATGTATTCATTTCACAACACTGTAAAGAAAACTTAAAAAGAAAAAAATACATCAAATTGGTAACAAAATACAGTTGGTCCTTTTCAGTGGCTCAGGTGATTAAGGTTGCCCATATTTTGATTTTAAAGGTGATTTGACTTCTCAGTTTCATAATATTTTGATGGCTTTACATTCATCATGTATGGGCCCTACTAAGTAACAACAATCCCTAATTTTGGCCTTTTCCTAAAGACAGCTGGGGGGAGAAACAGCAGCTTATCTTGCCTGGAAACTGTCAAGTAACCAAGCTTCAGATTTCAGCAGTGCTCCTTCATTTTCTGCTGGCTACAGGGAAGTACAGTCCTTTTACAAATCCTAGGAGCTCTAGTTTCTAGGCAGAAAAAAAAAAAAATCCATGAGGAGGGGAGAAGACACTACATGAAAATTTTCACTTGTTAAAGAACCAAGGACCCTGATTACTTGGGAAGGGGTACCAAGGTGGATGTACAATCCTAAAGGGCTATGGGGTTAACCCTGAAGTCAGTCTGCTTCCTTCAGTCATTGATGCTCCTCATGGCTAGACTTTAAATCGCACTCAGATTCTTCAAAACCAGCAAATAAAAATTATAGACTTAGGGCAGGTGTTTGGCACAGTGATTAAGATGCTGCTCAGAACACCTGCATACCATATCAGAGAGCCTGGGTTCAATTCCTAGCTCTGCTCCTGATTCCAGCTCCCTATTAATGTGCACCTTGGGAGGCAGCGAGTAATGACTCAAGTACTGGGGTCCCTGTCACTCACATGGATGATCTGATAGAATTACCGGTCCCTAGTTTTGGCCTGGCCCAGCCCCAGCTCTTGAGGGCATCTGGGGGAGTGAACAACAGTTTTTTGTTCTCTATCTGCCTTCCAAATAAAATGAAAATAATTTAAAATAATGATATACTTGAAAAGGGTTAGAACTATACAAAATCTCAACCCTGAATGAGAATATAGTGGATTAAATAATCTGGGCTGAAGAGGGAACCTCCCTGGAAATGCTGATAAAATTACAATAAATACCACTGAAAATTTGCAGTAGAGCTCCCAAGAAAATAAGAGCAATACCCAAGGCCTAAAAGTGAAAAGAGGACTGAAAACTAAAGCAACAAGCACAGCTATCGCTGGGACTATCCTATAGGTTTGTGGGTCACAGGAAAGCTTGGGTTTTATTGCTAAAATGCTGATGTCTTAGATCCTTGCAGCATAAGGAATTGAAGTAGAGGACCTGCTTCAAACCAGGATGCTTGACAAGCTGCATCATCAGTGAAAGGAAATGGTTGTGGGGAAGAATCTACCTATTGGCATAGGAAGATGATAAGGAAGGTTGCCTGTCTCATCCTGAACTTGGAATAAATCTGTACTCTCCAAGAACCTGTTAGCGAAATCCTGCTCACAGGTGGGTATGGGATTTGAATTTATACCATCTCCTTAGTGGGGAACAATCAAGTCAGGAAAGCAAGCTTAGGGCCGACGCTGTGGCTAAGGGAGCTAAGCTGCCACCTGCAATTCCTGCATCCCGTATCAAAGCTCTGGTCTGAGTCCTGGCTGCTCTGCTTTCAATCCAGCTCTCTGCCAATGTGCTTGCAGAAGCAGTGGAAGATGGCTAAAGTACCTGGGTCCCTGTCAGCTACGTGGGAGACTTGGATGGAGTTCCAGGCTCCTGGCTTCATCCAAGACCAGCCCCAGCTGTTGTGGCCATTTGGGGAGTGAAACAGTGAAACAGGAAGATCCCTGTCTCTCTTCTTCCTTCCTTCCTTCCTTTTCTCTTTCCCTCCCTCCTCTTTCTCTCTCTCTCATCTTCCCCTCTCTCTCTCCCCTTTTCTATCACTCATTCCAATAAATAAATCTTTTGAAAATAAATAAAAAAGAAAGTAGCCTAAAAACTAATTCTATTTTTTATTTTATTTTATTTTGACAGGCAGAGTGGACAGTGAGAGAGAGAGATAGAGAGAAAGGTCTTCCTTTTCCGTTGGTTCACCCCCAAATGGCCGCTGCGGCCAGCGCACCGCACTGATCTGAAGCCAGGAGCCAGGTGCTTCCCCTGGTCTCCCAAGCGGGTGCAGAGCCCAAGGTCTTGGGCCATCCTCCACTGAACTCCTGAGCCACAGCAGAGAGCTGGACTGGAAGAGGGGCAACCGGGACAGAATCCAGCGCCCCGACTGGGACTAGAACCCGGTGTGCCGGCGCTGCAGGCGGAGGATTAGCCTATTGAGCCGCGGCGCCCGCCACCTAAAAAGTAATTCTAAAACAAAACAAAAAAATGCTCCTAAGGCAACTGAAAGAAGCAAATTGAAAAATTCCCCAGCAACAGTGCTGAACAGTCCTGAACACAGGCAAAATAAGTACCATGGACATGGCCCTACACAGGATGTGGTCCAAACCAAAACTATGCAAGTACTTCATGAAATGATGCACCATGAATGAATGCAAGTAGGAACTATAAATAGCAATGGTAGACCATTGTCTACCCTGGGTAGACTGTAGGGGTTAAGGTACAGTGATACCATTCAGATAGATCACTGAAGTGACTGTAGTGGAAGATCTAGAAAACCAGAATGAAGACAGAGGGCTAAGAATGCGAGTTACGCTACAGTGTTGGCAGCAGGCATAGGGAAGAGTGGACAGAATCAAGAAATATTTGTAAGTAAAATTGTAGAGTTTAGTGACAGATTGGTCATGGGTGGGAAGGCACTGGAGGAATCGGTAACTCCTAGGTTTTGTGTTGAAGTGATGGTTGAATGAAAATGACACAAATGAGATAAGCAATATGAGAGGAAGGAAGAAGCTAAGTGCAATTTGGGTTACAGTAGATTTGACAAACATCTTTACTTAGATGTTGAATAATAAAAACTAACAAACTGAAACCCCTAGGTTAGAATGAAAGATTCCTAACTTATCAGAGGAAAAAGCTTATGAATAAAAGCAGGCAAGAGCAGTGAGTGTTTAGTCTAATGATTAAGATGCCCACCGCTCATATCAGAGTGCGTGGGTTTAATTCCTGTCTAAGGCTCCTGACTTCAGATTCCTGTCCCCGCCCCCCCCCCACACACACACAGGCAGAGAGAGAGAGAGAGAGAGAGAGAGAAACAGAAAGGTCTTCTTTCTGTTGGATCACCCCACAATGGCTGCTACGGCTGGTGCGCTGTGCCGATCCGAAGCCAGGAGCCAGGTGCTTCCTCCTGGTCTCCCATGATGGTGCAGGGGCCCAAGCACTTGGGCCATCCTCCACTGTACTCCCGAGCCACAGCAGAGAGCTGGACTGGAAGAGGAGCAACCGGGACAGAATCCGGAGTCCCAACCGGGACTAGAACCCAGGGTGCCGGTGCCTGGGAGGATTAGCCTAGTGAGCCGTGGTGCCAGCTCCAGCTTCCTGTTAATGCAGACTCTGGGTGGCAGCAATGATGGCTCAACTAATTAGGGTCCTACCTACCACCTGGAGACATGGACTGTGTTCCTGGCTCCTGGCTCCAGCCTTGGCCCAGACTTGTTGGTTGTTGTGCTCATTTGGGAAGTGAATCAGTGGGATGAGAGCTCGCTCTCGTGCTCTCCTTCCCTCCCTCCTCCCTCTCCCTCTATCTCTCTCTCTCTCTCTCCCTCTATCTATGCCTTTCAAAAAAAAAAGGGGGGGGGAGCGGCCTAGTGGTTCAGGAGGTTAAAATCCTCTGCCTGTGGTGCCAGCATCCCATATGGGCACCAGTTCTACTCCCAGGTGTCCCTTTTCCGACAAGCTCTCTGCTGCAGCCTAGGAAAGCAGTAGAAGATGGCCCAAGCGCTTGGGCCCTTGCACCCACATGGGAGACCTGGAAGAAGTTCCTGGCTCCTGGCTTCAGATCAGATCAGATCAGCTACGGCTGTTGCGGCCATTAGGGGAGTGAACCAGCAGATGGAAGACCCTTCTCTCTGTCTCTCCCTCTCACTGTCTGTAACTGTACCTCTCAAGTAAATAAATAAATAAAATATTTTTCTTTTAAAGATCTATTTATTTATTTGAAAGTCAGGGTTACACAGAGAAGGAGAGGCAGAGAGAGAGAGAGGTCTTCCATTTGCTGTTTCACTCCCCAATCGGTCACAACAGCCAGAGCTGTGCTGATCTGAAATCAGAAGCCAGGAGCTTCTGCCGGGTCTCCCACGCGGGTGCAGGGGTCCAAGTGCTTGGGCCATCTTCTACTGCTTTCCCAGGCCATAGCAGAGAGCTAGATCAGAAATACAGCAGCCAGGACCAGAACCGGCACCCATATGGGATGCCGGCACTGCAAGTAGTGGCTTCACCTGCTATGCCACAGTGCAGCCCCCATAAATAAAATCTTAAAAAAAAAAAAAAAAAAAAGCAGTCAATAATGGACTAAATCTAGAAGAAACACGAGTCTTTATGAAATAGACAGAGGATGGGGGCCAGTGCTGTGGTGCAGCCGGTTAACGCCCTGGCCTGAGGTGCCGGCATCCCATGTGGGCGCAGGTTGGAGTCCCCCTGCTCCACTTCCTGTCCGGCTCTCTGCTGTGGCCTGGGAGAGCAGTGCAGGATGGCC